CGTAACGTATGGTAGCGAAAGTTGGACTATCAAAAAAGCGGATAGAAGAAAAATTGACGCATTTGAATTGTGGTGCTGGAGGAAACTACTAAGAACACCATGGACCGCAAGAAGAACAAATCGGTCAATACTAAATGAAGTGAAGCCGGACTTCTCACTGGAGGCATTAATAATGAAGCTAAAGCTCAAATATTTCGGTCACATAATGCGAAGACAGGACTCGCTAGAAAAGACCCTGATGCTAGGAAAAATCGAAGGCAATCGAAAAAGAGGTTGACAGAAGATAAGGTGACTTGACACCATAACTGATGTCATGGAAACAAACTTACAAGAACTGAAGGAAATGGTCACTGACAGGCACGCCTGGCGTAATAACGTCTATCAGGTCACGAAGAGTCGGACTCGACTAAACGACTGAATAACAACAATATTGGCAGACAACGTCTCTTAGACGTTTCGATCAGTACTCTTCGCAACATTCATTGTAATTATTGCATAAAGAGCATGAATACCGTACGAACGAAGGCCTATCAGAGTAAGCAAGACTTGAATGAAGACTATGATTGTTAATTGTCGATCAATTCGCAGACGCGCAAGAACAATAGTATTTTTTATGTTTCGATAAGTTAAAATTCCAAATGTCGCCACGATTCAGATAGATATACCACAGATAATAATACACACGAAAAATATGGCATACGCATAAAATGCATTACTGTTGTAAACATAATTTCCTGTTATCGGTGACATCTCATGAAAATATAACCGAAGACTGCCATGAAGCCATCATACAATAATAGTCGACATAGAACTTCTATATGCGTTTCTCACGGTGCTGTCTGGCGAAATTTAATATGTTGGGATGTGATTAGGAACTGACCAATGGTAGTCAAACATGAGCAAGTCGAAGAAACAGTAACGAAACTTGAGGTAAAAAAATACCGAAGCTTGCACCAAACAGCTGAAGTACGAAGCATGTCAATTTTGAGAAATGCAGCTATGGTATATGGAAGATTAGACATTATAAACAGGTCACACTCGTGTATAACAACAATTAAAAAATAAAATGTACAAGGTGCCTTTTGATAATAGGATATAGTGTTGAACATCAAAATCGGCGTGAAACTGCCAATAATTCCACCAATGAAGAAAAAAAGACCGAGATAGAGTGCGACTAGTTGATTAATGAAAATTAACGATGGCATGATTTAATCTGCGATAAACGTTTTTGTAATCGAATTACCACTTCAAAAACGTTCCCTATATAGAAGTGCACAAGAGCACAATATTTAACTATCTTGAGGTTGTGGGTGTACATAATCAATTTAACTGCTTTTATGCATTTGTTTCTACACACATGACTTTCCCAAAACTAGCGCTACTTCTTACTTTTTTTTCAAGTACTTCATATATAAAAATAGTGCTTAGGCGATGTCATCTTTCAATTCGATATGCAACCGTATTTGATTAAGATAATATTTTATTTTTATACAGAAGTTTTTCTACAAAAACTAAATAACCATAGCGCTTTCAACGAATAGTTTCATTTTATTGTTGTGAAAGAAAATAGTTTTGTACTTCGTGCAAAGATCTCAATAATTTAGTATCGAAATTTCAAATAATTCTTATGAGCCTCTGCATCAAATATTCTTGACTTCCCTGTTAGCAATTATTATTTTTTGCAGGAAAGAACATACAAAATGCACTCCGTCGTAGACTATTTTTCTAAAGATGAACTTGTATGATATTATATAAACGATCGCTGTAGTGTTTTACCGTGCCATTTCGAAGATCCTCTCAATGCTTGAAACTTTTGTTCTGTATCTTCAGTATGAAATTACGAAGTATACTCTATTATGTCTCGCATCTAGATATGTACCTTCAAACAAAAACTAATTAGAAATATATGAAGAGAATCAGAAGAGCTTCTTAATTGCCTAATGACCAATACGTGACCATTGTTTGATGATTGACTTGAAGAATCATCATAATATATAGCTGAAAACTTAAGCATAGCATGTTTACTATCAGGCCGAAGCATCAGAGAATTCGATTAGATTTAAAAGTAATTTATCCAGAGTAAACTGTTAGGAGGTCTTAACAAACTAGTTTCGCATTTTTCACGATTAACCAAAAGCTGTCTGGTTACTTTCAACTAGATGATGTTAGTGTATTTGAATCAAATACTGGATACTGAATATTATATTTGGTACTTTTGTGCTTTGTTATTTGAAAATCTTAAGTAAAAAGTGCATTTTTCTAGTACAAGTAACTTTACTTTTACTTTCAAAATGTATTCGAGTACGAATACTGAGTACGAATTTACTTTAGAACAGGTACTTAGTACAAATGTACTTGAATGTCGTTGCTGATTGGTGATATTGATTTTTCAGTGATAATTAAGGGGCACAGACAGTGAATATTTAGTACAGTACATAGTACTTTTGTACTTTTTTCTTAGAAAACTGTTGGGATAAGGCAATTTTTTTGCAGTAGAAGTGAAATTACTTGTATTTCAAAAATAAATTACGCTCTGAAAAATTCTCTTGGCATTTGGCTTGCAGAGACTGGGCAAGTACAAGTACAGCAAGTACAAGTGAAAATACTTGTTACTTACTAATTGTACTTTGGACTTTTACTCAAGTACAATTACTTAAGTACATTTGTACTGAGTACCGGTACTTAAGTAAAATTACCAAGTACATTTGAAACATTTATATGATCATCGATACATCAGTACTTGGTACTTGTACTTAAGTAAATTTGTACTAAGTATCGGTACTTAAGTACATTCGAGAAGTATACTTTGTACTTACGATTTTTAAGTAAAAAGTACGAAAATACTGAGTAATTGTACTCAGTATCCAGTCTCTGTTGGCTGGGAGGTAATTCAAAAACAAAATAACTGCTGAGAACGAAATATCCATCTTTCGTATTAAGCTCACTGGTCACATGGTATAAAAACATGATTTTCTCAAAAAGTATAAATAGATAAATTCTTAACCAAATGATAGATAAAGTATCTGATGAGTGTGAAACCAAGTCAAAATTGATGATTCCAAAGTAGTTCAGTTTTTACAATAAACTATCCTAAGTTTCGTTGTAACAACATAGTTCGAATATGTCGAACACTCGACATTTAGAAGACACTCAAGGAGCTGAATTCAACCATGAAAAAAAAGTCTCTATGAAGTTTGCTCAAATGTCGCATCGGCATTACCTTATGTATTTCATTTTCTCATTGCATTATTTTAGCAATAATCTATAGTTACATTTTTTCTAGATAACTAATCGCCATTAACTTGTTTGACACGTACTTTTCGTTCAAACGACTTATTTCAATTTATTGGCTACGAGAAAAACAATCGATTATACTCTGTAACAATGTACCTGCACATAAATATAGACTGCATAGAAGCGAGAAAACTAATGCAACAAGAGCTGATCCGTATGTAATTAAAGTAATAATATAAACAGCAAAATCATATGTTTTCAGTGATGATCTATCTGTCAGTGATTGACTTGCATATACAACTCCAGTGAGCAGAACAATAGGAGTTTCGATTACAATAAATAATCTTAATATTCCTTGCCATATGACTTCTAAATCAATGTCATCCTCATCGTCGTATTCGTCCATACCGCAGCAACGTCTAGTAACTTCCTTTATCCCAGATAAACCAAAAAATGTTGATAATATCATTAAAATTTCATAGTAAGTACCACGAAATGGTGAACTAGTATCCAGAAATAGGAAGAATATTTGCGTTTCAAATAATAAACCGTATGACACTACGCGTACTGGTAATGTACAACAGTCTTCTGCACAATTCGTAAAACGATCCTTATCACCATTATCTCTCAGATATATTAGACTAATTAGATGAAGCATAATTTCCAAAAGAAAAAAGACAATTGCAACAGCAAGTAAACTAGTTGTTGTTGATAACATTGTTAAATATAATATTAATTCGACACTTTCTATAATCATACTGAACAAAACCGTTAATATTGGACGAACAAAAAGCGATTTAAATACTAGAGCACCACCAACAGCAAAGATTATAAAAAAGAAACGCTGTTGCTCATTTTCATCAAGATCACTTTCTTGAACAATAAAATAAACGCCTATTTGTTCAGCAAGATTAAATATATCAATTAATATTTTCATTATATCAGCAATATTCTTCTTGCTTTTTAGATAATCCATTTTTAATATGTTATCCTAAAGAAAAATCGATAAATTTGATGCATTGAAGAGGAGACAAAGTTCTAACTATAATTAGTTAGATGTGTCTAGTGGAAAGTTTTGAAAACAAAACTTTATTATTATAAATATGTATGATTTAAAACAAACTTTTCGTACCAGAGTGGACGTACAACAACTAAAATGAATCGATTTCCATGATCGAAATAGCTTGAATGTGGTAACATAGAATTCCTGAAAGCTCAACAGTTTCATTCAATTCGTTAGAATAAATATTTGTCTGTGACACCTTAATTCGATTCACAATCTGTTCTGCCTCTGATTTGTCATTATGAAGAAAATTGAAGGATGATTTAATTTTCTCAGAGAAACTATTGCTATTACCATGATGGGTCACTATTGAATTCATCTTCACAAAATATTTCACGTGTTTCCTATGAAATACTTGCGATAAAATTTCACAAAATAACTATATATAATATCTGTTTGAAAGTGTAAATGTTTTCTCAATTGTGGAATTTATTCATCTCGAGTTAAGAAGATCAAAATCCAAGTTTCTAAAGAATGTTTCATGAATATAAACAAGTGCTCCATTAGAAAATTATGAAAGACATTGCAATGAAATTCTACTTTGATTCTATCAAAGTATCATAACTAAAGCAATCTTACAATTTACGATGCAAATAAAACAAAAATAGTTTAAAAATAACATTCATGATTATATTATGACGCTATTTCTTCCTAGATCTAGAGAAAAAAAGGCATTCCTTCATTGAAATACTATACAGTAAAAGCGACTCATAATGAGCATTGCAAATACTCATTCACTTTGTATGTGTTATCCAAAATAAATAGTACATTAATAAAAAAACAAATCAACTGAGTGAACGGTTGATCTCATTCGTTGACTTATCCTTAAATCATTCAATGATACTTACTAAATCTTCATGTTCAATTTTTATCCGAGCATGTTTTACTTACTGAATTTAGTTCTTTCATTTATAAATCGACACTATGATCGATGCTGTTTGTTTGTTTCTTTCTATTGTATGAAATATAATCTTCGTAAAAATAAAAACAGCTTTTAAAGTATATAGGGTGGAGAAAAAGAAACATGTTAGTTTTTGGCAAGGCAAACAGAATTGAAAAAAACAGCAAACAAAAATAAAGATTTCTTCTGCTAACCAAATGACATTTTTAAGAATCACATTTCATGTATTGTAAAATTTTTTTTATAAAAAATGTGATGCCCGAACAGAATATATTCTTATAGGCTAATTTGCGCAATCGATCTGAGTTATTTGATGAATTTGTGTTGTTTCATGTTGGGCACAATATTATGAAAATACAACTCTTTCATTGTATTATGATCGAAACGATGCGACAGTAAAATACCACGGGTTCTATGTTTTTTCTATTGTTCGTCTTACTGTTTCGTCTACCTTATGGATATTAAATGTCCTTCACTTTCTTTTGTTTTAGAAGTGATATAAAAAATACTTCTACCATAGTTGATATTAGCACTTTGTATTCATAGCAGCTATTTTTTATTGTCGTGAAAGATGCAATCAAAAATTGTTCTGTGACCTTTTTTTTTCGCAGATTTCATCTGTCAATGGTAGTACGCATCATTCAAATAGGCTGATTGAGCATCGCGGTTGTGTTCGGCTTATAACAGAAGTCAAGCTGATAGATATAAGAGAAAATTCTATGAACAGCGATTTATTAGTTAACATATATCGCTATTAGTGCTTGGTTTCACAAGGTATCATTTGACAGAAAAGCAATTTTAGTCAAATTTTAAAAGCAGGCGTAATTTTCAAAGTTGAAGCAATACCATCATTCCACAGTCATTCTTTGCTTTTCGGCGAGCATCATGAGAATGAATTCAGTATAACTATTTTATGAACAAAAGAGAATTTGAACTATATTGCTGTTAATAATCGTTGGTCAAATCATTGTGGACACCTATAGACTATGAGGAAAACACATTCTTTATGCCCAATACCAACGCACCTGCACATAAACACAGAGTACATAAAATTGATATAGCTAGTCCAAGAAGAGCTGATCCATACGTAATTATAATGACAATATATATAGCAAAGTCATATGTTTTCAATGATGATCTATCTTGTAGCAATTGACTTGCATATACAACTGCAGTGATTACAATAATAGGACTTTCTAGTGCACTTAACAACGATAAAATTCCTTCCCATATTGTAAGTAAATTATTCTCGTTATCACCTTCAGTCATACTACAACATTTTGTGGCTATTTTATCTATACTCGTTAAACCGAAAAATGTCGAGAATATCATTAAGACTTCATAGTACGTTCCACGAAATGGTGAATTAACATCAAGAAATAAGAACAATATTTGTGTTTGAAATAATAAACCATATAAGATTACGCGTACCGGTAATGCACAACAGTTTTTTACGAATTCTTCGCAATATCCGTTATTTTCACCCCAAAGACCGATTATACTAATCATGTGAAGCATAATTTCGACGGCAGAAAATACAATAACAACAACGAGTAAAGTAGTTGTATTTGACAATACTGCTAAATATGACACTAATTCACCAATCTCAATGGCTATACTAAATAAAACCATTGGTATTGCATGAACACAAAGTGGTTTAAATACCAGTGCACCGCCGACAGCGAACAAAATAAAAAAGAATTTTTGTTGTTCAGTTTCATCCAAATCGTTTTCACGAGCAATAAAATAAACGCCAATCTGTTCAGCGAGATTCAACACATCAACTAAAATTAACATGATATGACCGATATTTTTTCTGTTACCATGAATATCCATTCTGAAGATTTTATTCAAAATAGAATATTTCTAGAAGAAAAAATTATTTATAAAAATCATAATTAATCCAATACATGGAAATTATTTGATGAAAACTTCTTCTGTAGACTATGGAGTCAGTAGGCAAACTATTATTATTTTCACTTCCAATGAGAAGTCAGCTAAAAAATTCAGATATTATTCACAGATGAGTAAAGAGACGATGTCGAGAAAAACAGAGTTAATATAATTTTAAAAAAGAAATATTTCTTCATATTTTATGCTTTATTTTTGATTATTTATGCATTCTCAAAGAATTTCGAGTACAACGCTGATTTTTTTTCTTCTGTTCTGTGCCGATTCAATGACGTTCGTGACGAACAAATTGCATCGGTAATAACGAAAACCGATGAAAGTTGAATTCAGTTGTTGTTTAATTAGTGAATAGACATGAAATGTCTCAGAGTTATGTTTTAATATGTTGCCGATGGTTACATCAGAGAAATCCAAATCCAAATCCAAATCCAAATAAAATGAATCACTGTTTGGATGATTTTAAAGACGCCAATGTTGACGTGAGATGGTCAGATAAATGTTTTTATGTTTCTTTAATGTTGGCTGTTGAAAGCTTACTTTGTATAACCAAAAATCGGTTAGAATAAGAATGAATTTAGCAACCTTTTTACCAGTTTATATATTTGGAGTTAGTGATATATGATTCCTGATGACAGAATATGTGCAAATTTTTTGAGGAAAAAGATTTTTCGACAAAAGTGAACTACTAAATCGGACAATAATTAGTTGAATAGATTCGTCTTGATTTAGATACAAATTCAAAGTTCGAGTCCACGCGGAGAATCGAGAATTTAATCAAAATTTAGCTATGACGATTTCCCTTGGCTGTATCTAGCTCTTATCGATACGTAACTTTAACCCTTGTTTTCATGTTATTGTTAAATGATTCAATAAAATTTAGAAATAATCGATCCGATTTTCTCTTGCAATTGGATCTTCACTTGTCGGACTTTAATTTATCTGTTATAAATGAGGATTGTCATCGAAGCTATCTTCTTCTATTCAATCTTGACGAGCAAAAGCCAACTTGGAGAACGAGAAACATGTTATTCTTTTTATTTCTTAGTCCATACAGAATTAAAAGCGAAAGAAAGAAACAAAAAAATGAATTTTTTCTTGGTAACTAAACGACATTGTTGAGAATAACATTCCATGCCGTACGCACCTTTTTTCATAATAATTTGAGTCCCGAAAAAGAGTTGCTCTTGTTTTGATAATCTACAACTGATCAAATCTTTCGCACGTATTTATCAGTTTTTGGATAAAAAAGAATTATATTGTTTCTCAGTTCAAATCATTTCTATTCTAATTTGTTTCTATCCAATTGAATTATATTTGTAAATGAAATCTGCACAATAGATTATTGTTTTCGACAAGCATCTTATTATGATAGAAAAGGTTTTCACAAAAAACAAATCTATCGCTGTAAAAATGAGCAAACTGTAATTTTCGATCATAAAAACTCTTGGGTGACCATTGGAGGATGCACTAACAAATTAGACAAAATATCTACGGGAATTAATGTGTATAATAATCAGTTGAAGTAATTCATGTTTTTTTCACCTTAAAGTCGGCTAGCAACAGTTTTCTAACGATGTTCTGATGATGTGTAAACATTCTTGAAAGAAAGTGTATGTGAAAGTTGGATGAATAAGACAAAAAATAAAAATAAAATTTGACTCTATTTTACCACGAGAAAGCTTGTGGTGGAGTCTCTGGCAAGACTAAAATGTGAAATTCACAACTTCAGGTCTGTGGTATTATGTCTAGGTTCAATATTCAGATTGAAAATATATTATTTTATTGTTTATTTTATGTAATCATGCAAATAATGTCGTAAATATCAAATGATAACACAACTTGTTCAGTTTGTCTCCTATTTGTAATAGCAGTGTTCTGTAGTATTTCCATGATTATAATTTATTGCTTGATAGACGAAGGCAAACATACAACTAATGTTATCAACAATAAAATATGATATATTTATGAGTTATCAGATTGTTGCAGGTAATCGTGAGTCATCACATGTGTTTAGAATACTTCGAAATTACAAAGTGGTTTAACGCTGAAATATCTTGGTATTGCCACATTGTCATTCTCGAAATATATTTTCAAGTTCATAAAAGTTTCATCATCGCATCTTTTGCATAGTTAGCGCTCATGGAAATGTATATATTTCATTTTATGTTGAATCTGCTATTGGTGTTCAATAGTGCTTACAATCAATTTATGAAACATTTACAACTAGAGAAAATAGCATAAGCAGGACATCTATGGTATTTATTAGATAGATTGCTTTGGGTTGGAAAGGAATCGTAACCATTCCATGAGCACTGTAGGGCACGTTTAGTTGAGTAAGCCAATGTGTTGCAATTTTTCAGTATGAAATTTTGACTTGTTGAATGCAATTATCGACGATTGCATGATAGTAGAAGCTTGCGTGCCATTTTCATTTATTTTTATCTCTACTTTTAGAGCAAAATAGAATCGTCGTTTTGTTTTCTAATGAAGTAGAGAGATGCAGAGGAAGTATATAGCGGTCGTTAATAAGTTTTCAAGTCAATTTCATTTATTTTTCATTATTCAAAGTTAAATAGACTGACAAGACTTGTATTTATCAAGCGATGAAATCTGAATTATTATTTAAAATTATACTTTTATTCAGCCGAAATCGTTATTAACTAGGTAGGATATGAGTAAAAACGTGAAAATACGTCTGCCAATTTAGTTTTTCATTATATTCATATCTTAACTTTGTAAAAATGACAGCGTGAAGCCTATCTCAGCATCAGAGTCTGAAAGAGCAGACTGATAAAAACAACCCATTGCAAGTGTTAGACAAATATGTATCTCATCCTGCCAGTAACAAACAAGTAGGAATGAGCTTGGATGTATATTTTTTTACATTATTTCTACACACGCACTTTTATTATAATTTTCTCCATTAATCATCGATCATTTTAGATGGTCGTTCAGTAGGTTACATCGCGTAAGAGATAAATCGTATTCCTTTGATTGAGACTACTAGAAATATAATTTATCGATGAATTTTTATCAGACTTCTTCTGAACTATAGTCTAGCCAATCAAAATCTTGAGGGTGTGGGTGTGGGTGTGTTAAGCTACCATGATATCGATATTTCATCTCAGCAACGAGCTTTTTCAAATGGCACCCGTAATGAATAATTTTCCGAAGAAAAAATTCAAAACAAAGTTGAATCTTTACTGTTACTTCGAAAAGTAATAAAAGATTGTTTCTGAAGAAGTGATATGTTGGATCTTTTGTAATTGTAAGGTCCAACGATTTGTTTTATTGGTTGAACATGTTCAAAGTTTGGAGAATAAGAATTATCTGAAAGAAAAATAATTTCATAGGTTTATCGTAGAAAAATGTTGGCAACAAAAGTGTTCATAGACGAATATGACTGCTTATTTATTTACATTGAATATTTGAAGTAGAATAATAGTAAACAGAAATAGACCCTAGCTTATAGTCAAAACATGTACTATAAGGCGTTTATTGTTCAATGATGGATGAGCATTGTTGGTTTCAATGTTGACGCGGTGATGGATGATGAGTGTAATATAATACGGATGATTATATCTATCGAATGCGAAGAACGATGAGTATTTGGTACAATGAAAATTATCACTTACCTTTTCATTGTTTTAATGTAAGATATTTGAGAGGTGGTCGTTTATGTATCAGTTCACGTTCTGAATTTGGACTGTTTCGATGGCCAACAATGAGTCTAACAGCTTCTAAGCCATAGCCTTCAAATGATTTTTCAAAAATTGTATGCATATCTTTTTTCATGGTCGTAAATCGTTTCTCATGAGTATAATGTATGATCACTTTATCTGGAACGTTGTTAGTTTTACGTTTGTTTGTCGTTGTGGATTCCATCGGGATAATATCTTCAACGATATTGTCTATATTATTTTGTTCGAATAGTGCAATACGTGCTTCAACTTGTGAATGCTGAGCGGTTGGTTGTTTCATATGTTCTTTACGTAGTTGAAAAAATTTGTGTTCATTATTGATTAATGGCAAAATTGAATTTGATGTTATGTAATTACCAAAGATTTTTCGAAATTGTTTATCAATATAAGTGGTCGGATAACTGAAATGAAACATGAACATATGTATGATTTTATTAATTTATAAATAGATGACTTACCCGTTGAATAATAGCATCAATCGAATAGCACGACGTTCATGATTAAATGCTTCGAATGTCGATGAATATCGTATTGCTCGAACAAGAGCTGTTTGTATAATATTTTGAAATATATATCGTGGATGATCCGAAATAAATGGAACAACATATGGTTCAGCTGATGGTTTATGATAAACGGACGTATGAAGAACTCCATTGTTATTCGTCAGGAGAATATCCAAAAATGGGACACTGCTTCCAATGTTCGATTCTAATTTAATGTTAGGATGCCATCCATTAGCATCTTTTAATAGTTGTTGAACTACTTCGATCGGTTCGTTCGATGTGAAGAAAACATCATCAATATATCTAGAATTATTAATAGAAATAATAGAATCTATATATGTATATTTAAACATGACATACCTGCCATAAATTTCATTTTTACTTTTTTGTCGTCGAACCCATCGTTTTTCCCAATGCCACATAAATATATTGGCTAGAGTTAATGTAAATGGTGAACCCATCGCACCACCAATAATCTGTTTATAGAATTTATGATCGTAGACAAAAGCATTTTCTTTTAAAACAATTTCTGCCAATTTTTGAATAGTCGTAATAGATATACCTTGAATTCTTTCACCAACATAATGACGAAGAAAATCGCCTAGAATTCGTATGGATTCATCTTGTGGTAGCATCGTATATAAATTGTTAATATCAAAAGTACAGAATTGAGTCGATTCTTTGAGATGACCATCAGTAGCATATTGTTCAAGACGTTTAATGAGATTGACACCATCGATGATTGTGTTATCTTTATTATATTGATCAAAAATAGGTCGAATTAATTCATCTAAGAAATCAGAAATAGGTCTTGTTACTGCTTTTATTGTATTCATAATGGGTCGTAATGGTGTTCCTGCCTAAATAGAAACAAGAAAAAAAATAATTTTTATAATAAAGAGCAATATTAAGTTTAACAATGAACCTTATGTGGCTTAGGATTAAAATACATGTAAGATAACCTGACATCATCTCGTTTTGGCATTAGACGATTATAATTCTTCAAGTTCAATTGTTTATCATTCTTGAGAACATTGATTGCATTTGTAACATTAGTGAATATTTCCATTAATGGATTGTATGATAATTCTTGATAGGGTTTTGTGTCATCGCGATATTTAGCTGCTTTTCTTTCATAATCAATTTTATTGCCAATATGTAGACCACCACCTTTGTCACATACACGTATAATAAGTTTTGCTCTTTGTGCTTTTCGTCGAATAGACTTGACTAATTGGAATTCTCGTTGAGCACGCATACGATCAGCATAAGATAATGGAGTCAAATAATGTTGTCGTAGTAAACCTTCAAGTAGCTCAGAATATTGATTCATTCTCGCTATTGGTGGTTCTCTTTTACAATAGTTCGTTAATTGACGTTTAACTTTATCCTTTATATCTTTGAGATTATTTTTTATTTGAGTTTCACGATGCTTTATTGGTTGAAGAGCACTTTGATTTGATCGAATATAACTTGGACCTATGAAATATAACACAAGATGAAATTATTAACATATCATAATTGATACGAATAGTTATTCCTATGCTTACATAGAGATAGATGAGATAGTTCTTCTGGTTTAAAAGGACAATGAAGAATATCTATGGTTACTTCAGGAGATACACCGACTACCGCCTTAACAGATGATGAACGTTGATAACGATGACTCATGTTCAATCGAAAATAAGTTAATTTTTGAAATATTTCTGCAATAATTTGATTAGTATGATGTAACATATAAGCTTTGAAATAATCGATGAGAGACATTCCATTAATTTGATCTCTTGTACAGGATTGCAATTCGAATTGATTTAAACTTTGTTGATATTGTTCTTCTTGTTCATCGACTTTATATTCATAAGCAGCATAAAAAATATTTAGTAGAGTAGGTTTTCCTTGTCCTTCTTATCATCATTTGACGACTATGCATTTGAATATATTAAAATGTGATATCTAACTTGAATATGTTTGTTTTTCTCTGTTTCTGATGTAAGATTCTCTTCGCGTACATTCTCAAAACCACTATATAGACTCTTCAATGTCTTTAGGTGACTTGAAACTCGCTTCTTCACATGATTGATACAATCTTCTTTTGTAACAAGATTATTTTCATATTGTTCCGAAGAAAGTTTTGACAAAAACATATTGATATTTTCATCTTTGGAATCCATTGATGAATGATTGGTAAATTTGCCAGAATGTATAAGATTCTTTATTAGCGCATTGACATAGGTATGTTTAACAGCTTCGTAGGCGCTTAAATCACCATCGCTAATCATATTTGTGTAGCGTAGTCCTAAATATTAATTCATTGTGTAATAAAATCTTGAGGATAAATGTAAAAACCAATCTGATGAATATTTGCAGTTAAATATGCTTTTTAATTTATATGTATAGTAGAAATATGCAAATATTCAGCGGATTAAATATTGACGTCAAAAGAAATGTAATGAGTGGATTATAGTACCTTTTTCGATAGATCTTTCGAAAATTTTCTTCGCACCCTCTTTTTCCATACCACCTGCACTACCATCCCACGTCTTCGAACATGTTGTTTGGCGTACCTCGTACTGAAATGATTACTTATATTGCTGAATAGCAGAGCTCCAGCACTTACCCATTTTTTTTAAATTGGCTTGCTGTTAATATACATACGTTGCTTTACTTCACACAATTCACATCGCTTACTTAACGTTTCAAAATCTAAACAATAGCCTGACTCGGCTTCAATCAGAAAAACAATGCCATACATTGATTGATGGCCTCTCTTTTTCCAAGTACCATCAAGAGAGACAGTGAGATTCAAAACATCATTTGGTTCACATTGTTTACTACGACGGATATCATCGATCAAGGACAAAAAGTCAATATGAGTAAAATCAAATAGTTGATCATATCTGCATGAAACTATCAAAAATTAATTATGAAAAATTAACTGGCTTACAAATGATGAATTTGTTTGTAGAAATTGGATCGATGTGGTGTATTTATTCCTAATAATGATAATATAAAATAAGTGGCATCTTAGCACTAGAATCACAAAACCTTCACTATTATTACTCGATATCGCATAGCTGACCTTTCCATAGACAATCTTATTTTCTGAAAACTACGTGAAACATTTTTCGTTTGCAGGATAGTTTCTTTGCTACTCCTGTTGTGTGAATATATTTCGTGATTGAGATCTGATGATATTGTTCGATTTGATTTTGATAAAATTGATGGCGAACGAAGAACTCAGTCAGATGAATCAATTGATGAAGCTATATCAAGATCTTCGTCGAAAAAACTTTCATCCGATGACATTGTTACAATAGAACGAGAAGAAAATACAGTATATCAACCGTTGGTTTTAAGAATTTCGAGCGAAATATTCTGCTGTCGCTATTGGCCAACCGTAACATTCTTCGTTTTATTGATAAGAGAAAAAGGTTGGATGCTTTCGAAAAAACTAAAAATGAAATCGGTGTCAATTATAACCCACAATGAGAATTCTTGAAACATCGACTAAAATACATACCTGATGGCACTGGTTGCTTACTCGCTTTTCCTCTATTTTCTATCAACACTACATAGTAAAGCCAACAGTATTCACATAAATGAAGTGAAATATCGCAAAAAGTCATTTTTATCTGCGAAATCCTGAAAATTTCATATTTTTCAGAAATTAAAATTTTATACGGTAAGAGAAAATGGCGTCTACCGTTTTCAATAATTGAATTCAGAAAATATGATGTGTAGCAAAGTTGTAGCGCTTGAAATTCTCTATCAAATGATACATGAGAAATTCTCGTTTAGCACATTCATGATGACGAAAACACGACAGAAAGTCGTTGAATTGAAAAAGGGTGTCCTAGTCAAGGTATTAAGTACCAAACGGTATGAAAGGAATCTTTTTTCAAGCTTCTTCAGAAAGTATCAGATAGAGGGGAAAATTCTCTATCGATTCATGTATGAATAGTTTCGTTTCGCTTTTAATTTATGTTCGAAACCAGCTTCTAACTGGATACATCCATGGACAAATTTTTATCAAAAAATTGATTCTTGTTTTGACTATAACTCAGGCTAGATATATGCAAATAACGTTAAAATTTGAGAATATACGTAAAAAAATATGCTCTATCGAATGAGCCTATTAAATCAGAAAATTAGGGGGTCGCGACTCCCCCCTCCCCCTTAAAATCTAAGAATGTTCTTTATCATAATATAATAGTCTCTTAACACAAAATAGCACGCAAAGAAAATGTTCAACTATAGATTCAGCGTCTACTCAAAATGTTTCAGGGGTGCGGATGCGTGGTGAAAAGAGAAGACACCCACACCCACACCTTGATCTTACCATGCCAATAATTTAACAATGATTATCGAAACATGATTCATAGAAAAACAACAAGATGCGATTCTTTTAGACAAAGATCGTATGATAACTGCTATCTCAAATATTTATAGACTGATTCGCGGAAAAGGAACTGAAGTGATAACTAGAGTGTAATCAAATGAGTAGTTATTTGGAAATTGCAAGCTCGAGAAGAGACAAATACGTAATATTCTATAATATGTTACATATATACTTTGCAACTAAAGAATCTGGTGGATAAAATATGCCGTAACCAATCATGCCTTTAGTTTTTTGTTGAGATGATTCATTGTCTGGCAAACCTTCTCTTAATACAGCGGTATTAACACGAAGAATCACAATTTTTTCTGCACAGCGGATCGACCACTCATTGTCTGTAGAGAGTGTGGACGTATTCGTGCGTCACAATTGACACCATAACCCACATTTCCAATCTCACCATTTCTCGAAGAGTTGTTGTTACGGATTTGCTCATTCTTCGGCTTTATTACTGTCGTACATGGCTGTGTTTGACGACGTTCCTAGACAACATTATGAGTAAAAAAATACTTTCTTTGTTTCTTTCTTCTGCATTATTTTCCCCGCCACTTCTGTTGTTGGCGACTAAAATATTTTCATATGCGCCATGTTGCTTCACATTTGCATACCAATTGATCGCTGTGCTTGTTGACTAATGCAGCCATGTGCTTACTCTAACAGAAAAACGCAATTAACTTTCACGAGTTATTCATTGTGGTTAAAAAAGAAACTTAGAGACGTTATTAAAATTTGTATTCAAAGCCTTGAAGTTGAAGTAAAAGAAAGCAGTTAAGTATAACTTTGATAGTCAGTGCATTTTTTGTGATCGAAAAATAACTAAAAGCTGTTTTTTTTTACGATTGAGTATAGAGCATAAGGTGCTAGACTTTGATAGAACACTATAACGCATCTTAACATTTCGATTAGGTATCACCTCTATATTCATTTTTATTACTTCATATGACTGTGAAATATTTTGTTTTGATTTCAGATTTTACGCATCTCAAAAAGAAACATCGCTGTGCAGATTTAATAACTATATAATTAGTTTCCACAATGAATCATTTTCGTAATATGGTCGAGTGAAGTTAGTATGCAGCGAATGTAGAGATCATTATTTTGAAAAAATTTTTAAATTCGTAAACGAATTCTTTTTTTTAAACAGGATGTCTTCTTTAAAATGATATCGTCCCGCTCTCTGTACAATATGTTCCAATAGAACATTGTGTTGCTTTCAAAATACTGAGCGCGAAATAATAGTAAAATAGCATGGGATTATGAGTAAAATTATTTCTAGAATATGAAAACACCAGCAATATCCAACTGAAAGATATAGTACAGAGAACATGAAGGTATCGTTTCAAAGAAAAAAATCGGTTTTCCAAAATACCCACGCTTTCGATTTTAAAAGATGCATTTTATAGTTGAGTTTCTTAAAAATAACGGGGTTAACGCACAGCTGTTTTGAATGTTTATAGTGATCTTGCTTGTTCGAATGAGTGGAATTTGAAAGTGAAAATTAAAATTTCATACTGATTTCAATCATGCATAATTAATGTATAAGCGATGTATACTAGAAACGTTTATATGCTTCAGGATATTTTACTAAAGTCTAGTCCCTGCAGTTCTCCACTTGATAGTACTTAGAACAGCTTTTAGTTACTTTTCAGTAACAGAAGCATTCAATGAATATAAAAAATATGATCTAGTGGCTTCTTCTATTTTAGTAAACCTATAGAGTACCACATTAAATGCAATACATAAAAGTAGTGTCTTGACACTATACTGTACTGTAAATATTTCATTATAGATACTTGTAGAATGTTGCAGAGTGATCCACCATCTGCGGAAGTCTTACACAGTTCAATTGATTACGTGACTGAAGACTTTACTATTGTGTGGCTCGATTCAAATATTCATGAAAAAACTAACTCTATTGTTACACTTCAACGTGCATTCAAACATGTTAAAACATTCTATGAACTTACTTCATGTTTGAATTTTCTACAAGATGCCGACAATCAGAAAGTGTTTCTTATCTTGTCACATGGTTTCGCCGATATTTTTGTACCATTAGTCCATGACATACTGAAGGTATTCTCTATTTATATTTTATCAGACAACAAAGTGGAGTCCGAACAATTATTGCAAGAATGGAAAAAAGTTAAAGGTATTTTTGACAATATGGCATTTATTTGTGCACAAGTGATGAGAAACATCAAGCAGTGTGAAAAAAAGTTCACATCCATGAGCATAATCTCACCGGCTTCTATTCTTGATTTGAATGGATTAGATCCTTCATTTATGTATACAAAACTACTCAAAGAAATTTTTCTCGAAATGGGATACGATGAAAAAGCTAAGATAGAATTCATAAAATTCTACCATGCTCAAAATGGTGCAGTGCAATCGTCTGCACTAGCAGACTTCACAAGAGATTTTGAAGATCACTCGCCCATTTGGTGGTACACGAAAGAACCATTGATTTATGTGACGCTTAATAGAGCATTAAGAACGCAGAATGTTGAAATTTTACTCAAAATGGGCTTTTTCATAGAAAAACTTCATAAAGAAATCCAACAAATACACTCAAAAACAATACCAACAAAACACAAGATAATTTACCGAGGCCAAGCTATTTCAATTTCTGATCTTGAGAAATTAAAGAAGAGTGAAGGTGGTCTTCTTTCATTTAACAATTTTCTCTCGACAAGCACAAGCTATCAAGTATCTTCTCTTTTTGCTGATAGCGTTCGAAGCGATCTGGATGGAATAGGAATCATATTTGAAATCGAAATTATACCAAATAACATATCGATACCTTTTGCTTCATTGGATAATATTAGTATTCATTCGGATCATGAAAATGAAATTCTCTTCTCAATGCATACTGTATTTCGGATTGGCGAGCTAGAACTCATTGAAGATCGACTATGGTTTGTTAAATTAACATCTACGAATGACGATGATGAACAACTCCAGCGTCTCACCGAGTACATACGTACAGAGACAAAAGAACTAACAGCGAAACACCGGTTAGGTGTAATGATGATCAAAATGGGAGAATTCGATAAAGCTCAACTGTTATTTCAAACTTTACTTGAAACAGTATCAAACGATGATTGGGCAGATCAAGCTCATTTACATCAACAACTAGGGTCGGTTCTTCAATTTAAAGGTGATGGATTGCAGGCGTTGTCAAATTATTATAAAACTCTCCAACTTATTCAAATTAATAATCTATCGGATTATCCTTTAGTAGCAACAACCTACAATCATATTGGTGAGACACACGAGTGCATGAGGAACTACTCAGATGCCTTGTCGCATTTTGAGAAGGCACTAGCGTTGCAACAAAAAACTTCTGAATTCAAACAATCCGATCTTGCCATAACTTATAATAATATTGGCGCTGCGTTTCAATCAAAGGGAGAAAATAATAGTGCCTTGTTAAATTATGAGAAGTCGCTTGATATCTTGGAAAAATATCTTCCATCCACGCATCCAGATATTGCAACTGCCTTAAATAATATTGGAACGTTATATTACCGAATGGGAGATCTTGAAAGTGCACAAAGATACCATTTAAAGGCGTTAAAAATCCAAGAAAGAGTTCTTACACCAACACATATTCATCTGGCAGCAACTTATAATAATCTGGGATTAGTGCATGATTTAATGGGAGACCATAGCAGCGCTTTGTCATTCTATGAAAAGGCGCTAAGAATCCGCCAGGCTGTTTTGCCCTGCAATCATCTATCGATAGCTGAGACCTATGACACTATTGGAAGCGTACACCGATTCATGGGTGACTATCCTACTGCAATATCATATCATGAAAAAGCACTTGAAATTAAAAAAGCTATTCTTCCATCGAACCATTTAGATTTATGCACAACCTATAATAGTATTGGTTTTGCATGTAAATTGAGTGGCGATTATACGACTGGGCTCTCCTACTACGAAAAAGTACTTGCAATCAAACAAAAAAATATTTCACAGAATAGTTTTCTATTAGCGATTACCTATAACAATATTGCTTCCATCAAGCAATTAGTCGGTGACTATTCAATTTCATTGATATACTATGAAAAAGCTCTTGAGATCCAACAAAAAATTCTTCCATCAAATCATTTAGATCTAGCCACAACCTACATTAATATTGGCTCAATTCATTATGCTTTAGGATATTTCACTAAAGCATTTTCATACTACAAACAAGCACTTAACATCAGACAAAATATGCTTCCATCTATTCATTCTGACCAAGCTACAGCTTTTAAATGTATTGGAGATGTGTATGAAATTATGGGAGAACATTCAGATGCGCTGTTATACTATCAAAAATCTCTTGATATTATACAGAAAAACCTTCCATTTTCGCATCCAACTTTCGCAACTATATGCAATCATATGGCTATTGTGTACCAATCGATTGGAGAATATTCAACTGCACTTTCCTACTGTTCAAAAGCCCTTGAAATTCAAGAAAAAATGTTCCCCTCGTTTCATTTTGAACTAGCTACTACTTACAATAATTTTGGTGCGTTGCAACAGCTACTAGGAAACTATCCTAATGCACTATTATATCACGAGAAAGCACTTGAAATCCAGAAAAAATCGTACTTACCCCATCATTCGGATATTGCCACTAGCTACAACAATATTGGTTATATTCATTGTGTGTTGGGTGACCACGCGCTGGCGTTGTCGTACTTTAACAAAGCAACCAAAATCCAATCAGAGGTACTTTGTTCTACGCATCCCAATATAGTTCGTACGCTAACTAATCTTGGTATGCTGTATAAGTCCATGGAAAGTTATTCTACTTCACTGTCTTTCTACGAGAAAGCACTTGAGATCCAACTTAAAAACTATTCACCTACTCATCTAGATCTCGCTGTTATCTACATAGGCATTGGATCTGTGCATAATTCCATGAAAAATCTTTCAGATGCACTGTCATTTTATAGAAAGGCTTTAGAAATTCAAGAACACAGATGTTTTCTGACTCATCCAGATTTAGCTATGACGTACAATAATATTGGTAATACGCATAGTTCTCTCCGAGAATATACGACTGCACTTTCGTATTATCGAAAATCACTTGATATTCTAGAGAAAAGTCTACCTGCTACACATCCTGATCTGATAGAAACATATAATAGAGTAGGATCAGTGTATAATTCAATGGAAGAATATTCTATTTCGTTAACATATTATGAGAAAGCGCTTGAAATACAAGAAAAAACTCTGCCAGCTAATCATCTTGATCTATCGAAGACGTATAATAATATGGCTTCGATTTATCATTCAATGAAAGAGAATCAAATCGCACAGTCTTACTATGAAAAAGCCGTTGCAATAATCGAAAATGCTGTACCACCAAATTATTCTTTATTGGTTACAATTTATAACAATATTGGTGAACTGCAGCGTATGGATGGAAATTATTCCGCTGCAATATCATTTTTTCAGAAAATATGCACAATCCTACAACAAGAAAATGATTCAGCTTTTCATATAGAAAAGGTTCAAATCTTTCATAACATTGCTTCAGTATACGAATGCATGGGAGAAGATTACAATGCATTATCGTACCATGAGAAGATAGTTGAAATTCATGAAAGAACATGTCCAACCAACTATTCTGAACTAGCAACATCGTTCAATAATATTGCCAGATTATACCGATCAAAGGGTGATCATTCTACTGCTCTGAAGTATTATCAAAAGTCGCTTGAAACCCAAGAAAAGTTCGTTTCATCTGGTGATTTCTCATTAGCCACAGTCTACAATAATATTGGCGACATGCATCATTCACTTGGAAACTACTCATCAGCACTTTCAAACTACGAGAAAGTACTCGAAATCGAATCAAACACTATTTCATCCGCTGATCCAGATTTAGCTACTACTTATAACAATATAGGATCAGTTTATGACTCAATGGGAGACTATTCTACTTCACTTTCATATTATCAAACAGCACTTGAAATTGAAGAAAAAGTTCTCTCACCCACTGATCTAAATCTGGCAATAACATATAACAATATAGGTTCAGTCAATATTTCAATGGGGGACTACGTGATCGCATTGTCATACTTTAAAAAGACACTTAAGATCCGCCAAGAATCTCTTCCACCTACTCATATCGATATGGCTGGAATATTTAACAACATGGGTTCCGTACATAGAATGATGGAAGACTATATGAATGCACTATCATATTATGAAAAGGCAATTGACATTCAATTGAAAGCTTTACCATTGAACCATCCTGATCTGGCAACGACTTTCAATAACATCGGCGCAGTGTATAATGAAATCGAAAACTATCCATCGGCACTTTCAAATTTCGAGAGAGCACTGGAAATTGAACTGAAAACGCTTCCCGCTATGCATCCCGATCTAGCTATCACGTACAATAATGTTGGTGCTGTTTATGATGCAATAGGTGATCAAAATACTGCCCTATTGTACTATAAGAAAGCACTTGACATTCAGGAACAAAGTCTTCCTTCTGATCATCCTGATTTGTCAGCAACATATAACAATATTGCCATAGCGTATGATTCCTTAGGAGAGTATCCGAACGCACTCTCTTATTACCAGAAAACGCTTCGAATAGCAGAAAAAGCACTTTTTCCTGGTCACGTTTCATTGACTGTAACCTACAACAACATCGGCTCAGTACACCGCAATATGGGAGACAACATGAGCGCACTTTTATATTACCAAAAAACGCTCGAAGTTGAAGAACGAACACTCTCATCGACTGACCCTGATCTTATGACAACATATGATATTATCGCTAATATATATATATTTATCGGAGAATATTTCTCTGCACTTCCATATTATGAGAAGAAGCTCAAAATTCAAGAAAAAATACTTTCAACAACTGATGTTCAACTAGCCATGAGTTATAACATGATTGGCTTACTACATCAATGGTTGGGGGATCATAGAAGGGCGCTCTCCTTTTTCGAAAAGACACTCGGAATCCAAGAGAAAACGCTCTCGGGCGCTCATACATCACAAGCAGTAAGTCATTTCAATATAGCATCGGCATTAGAAAGCGTCCCCCAGCTCAGCGAATCGGTTGAGCATACAATACGAGCAATCAATATTTTACGTTATTGTTTAGGATCTGATCATCCTCATGTAAAATTATGTGAAAAATATCTTAATCATCGTAATAAAAAGATGCAATGCTAATCGTATGTACTCGCAAGTATGTGTTAGCCTATATAGTAAAGAATGAATATGAAAATGAATAGAAAAGCTAATGCCGTAATATATTTTAATCGATTATTAGGAGCTAAGACTCCTTTCATAATCGCATTCATTCTCTAGTGTATTTACTGGTGTCAATTGCTTATTCAATAACTCTTAATGATGTATTGTTGAAACTAGTCGAGTTACGTCTTAATCAGTAAATTACTCGTTATATTATTTGACCAATCATTACATGTTAATGCATGCAAAGACACTGAATAGGAGTAGTTAACTGCCACTATCAGCAAATGATGTTTATTCGCTACTTCATTCTATCCAGAGTGTAACAACTGCATACATAACACATGTATGTATATATGAGTGAGAATATACAGAGAAGGAAAATAAATAAGCAAAGCGGGTCATCAATATCGGCACATGATCTAGATGTCGTACACCAAGAAGAAAATCGTTCAAAGAGTTTCTCACATAAGAGTTTATAGCGTTTCATCATTTATGATTAATTATTTCGCCAGTTAGATCAAGAGGGCAGACATTACTCCAGTGGATTTGAACAGTATAAATCATTCTTTTAATGAAATTTTCAAAGTAAAAGTCGGATGCGAGCGACACCCGCGTGGGATACCACTCACACCTAGCCACTCCTTCTTGTTATACTCTTTGGCAACAGAAGATTATTGAATAATTACAAGAACCTTTTCTCTTGTAAAAACTGCATAGATAGTTTTCACAGGTAATTTCAGATTCACTATTCTCCAGTCGACTTTTCTTTTAATAGCACTTTCTGCACGAAAATCATTTTACTCAAACAATATTTCTTCAACATAAGACTCCGATTTGAATTCATCAACATCGACTACTTTCGATGAAATTTGATAACTCTCACAATACATTTGAACACGTGACCTGGCATATGTGCATGTCTACAATCAATCAAGCCAGTAAACTCATTTTATTTCATATGACCCTCCTTCCAGTTGAGGGAACTGTATAGAATTGTAATAGTAGAAACAGATTCATGTCCATATCGTTGAAAGTGAAATGCACTGCAAATAAAATCACATTTTTCTAAATTTGATCATAACTAGTAGTATAAGGTGCCGTAAAAGCGCAAAGGCATTACACATACACAATTCTCCCAGACTTAAGGGTATCAACGACTATAAGAACAATCGATTCTTGTATGGAAATTAAATTTATTTGTAATAAATATTGTTCAACGAACAACAAATATATTTTTTATACAATATACACACCAAGAGCTTTAGATTAAAATGAAATTTATATAAATTTATTCTGTACAACGGTATAAATGATTTGTTTACTTCAATCAAGAAAATTCTGATGAAACAAGTGTTCAAATTAGAACATTGTTTTGAATAATCATTTGTGTATGTCTCTAGTTATTAAACTTGCTCTTAATCAAGTTTATACAGCTTATCATTAACTTCTTTTCTGATGGATTAAATTGCTTAAAAATCTTTGAACTATTGATGAAGAGAAATGGAAAGAATAACACCTGAATTTTATTTGAAAGAAAAAGATTAAAGTTAGTTGAATTAGGTGAGTGTTACTACTGTTGGTCTAATCTGGTTTTGTCTGTTTTGCATAAAATCCTAAGATGTGGAATATACTTGCACAAAACTCATGCCAACAAAAGATGCTATAAATGTTGATCAAGTTAAATGAATTAGTCAACTTCGCCGAATTTTATTTTCGCCGATTCTAACTTCGCCGAATAAAAATATGGACAAAAAAATATCGAATCAAATTTGATCCATTCTAGATATAGAACTTAATTCTAACTAACTACTTTAATGGTGACTTGATTAATTAACCCCATCTGAGTTGGTCACCAACTAACTTAGTAACAAACTGAGTTGATAACTCACACCCACATCCTAGTTCGACTAAAATAGAAATGCTCTTTGTATTTTTAACACCATAAATTAGCCAGAAAGAAGGACACTATATTGTTGTAATGTATAGTAAAGATGTGATCTGTTCGTATTCATTTAGATACGAAATCGATAGGTATTTAATCCGTATTACTGTACAGCTAAGTTTAGCTAATAATTTTAAGTCAAATACTTTAAGGGTAGATCGAAACTTTGGCTCCTGAAATTGTCAAAGTACCTAAACATCTCTTCAAGGTTAACATTCATTGATCAAATTGCTTCGAGAAACGTTTTTATTATACTTCCAAAAACGAATTTCTTTAAATAGAAACAGAAAGCATCTAAAAGTACTATATTATTTCTAATGATGATAAACAAAAATTACTCAACTTTTCCCCTCCGTCCTGCTCGTTATATTTGAGAGCAGTAGTTTGGTGTTTACACTTATAATAAACATGGAAACTATATATTTCAGCAACATTACATAACAAAAGTTATAGAAATGATCTACATCAACATTCAAACGATCTTCTTTTCATTTTTACTAGGATGAATATAATTTTCGACAGAATATGCGTTATTGCTTTAAAAGTTTTTCTCGAAGGAAAAGTCAATTTGTCGATTCTTCTCTGCATAGAAATAAGAAAGCAATGGCTAATGTTTATCCTCATTATGCACGAATTACACATGACAAAAAGCGCCCAACTTTATTTCAAAGCACACATTCAAAAGATCATCATACCACAGTTTTGGTATCAAGTGAATAAGAAAGCGCCAAAAAAATGAATAGAAAATTCGACATAGAAAATTTTATTGAGAACGCGGCATTGTAACAACCACGTTGTGATGTTGTAGCTGGTGGCTTTGTGGACTCTGTATGCTTTATTAAGATTCTATTAAGTAAAGCACCCAGACGAGCACCAGCTTGAATAAGACGCTTTTCGACAACAGGCCAACTTCGTTGATAGTACCATTCGCCCAAATTATACCTAATTGATGAATTCATCGTCACGTTCATTTCATTGAAATAGATTTGTTTACAAACAATATCTAAACTTTCACTAGCCCACTGTGTAAAATTATCATCATTGATTTTTGAAGCTTCATTTAACATTTTCGAATGCAAGTATGCATAATACGTATTAATATTCCCTGCAAATTCAGTACGCATACGATGCGTCAACATACCGGTATCCCATAATGAATGCAGATTAGTTGTGGCTGTGGAATTCATAAAGCGAACTATATTTTACAAAACGAAAACGAAACTTTTATTTTACTTCCATTAGATAATAATACAGACCTGAAACACCATTTCCACCTGCATCATTATTAAAGCCTGCATGTAACGGTTGATGAATATCGCCAACAAAATGAACAAGAAAGAAAAAATCTTGCTGATGATGTACATTATTGTCAAATGTCTTTAGTCGTGTAGAATAATTTTTCAATGCACCATGAATGCATCTATCATTGATGCAATCTCTTTCGTATATATAATTACAATCCCACGGTGGTGTATTGATATAATGTAACGGTTTTGACCATCTCCATGCGTTGAAACCAAATAAATTGTCTGTGTCAAAATGAATAGTATCTGCCCAAAAGGCTATTTCACTCATTTGATTTGTCAAACGAGTTTTTACCCACTTGAGTGCTCTTTCGTCCAGTAGACTTTCAGCAAGATGAGCAACTAGACTATGGCCAACCCTGCCCCATCCTTCTATATGTGGTGTAATTGAGCATATTATGAGGAACAACAGTAAGGACGACATTTTATTGGTACTATGTTTTTGACCTGATTTGATTTGATTTGCATATATTTATATGTCAGAATTAAGTGGATTAGTGTCAATAATACAAGTTTCAGGATACTGCATATGATCAAGCTTAAATTTGTTTCGTGAAATAACACCCTGAATTTTAGCATCATTTCAACTAAATCCGCCAATCAATATGTGGACACCGTGCAACATGAAATATTATACGATTACTTTACTGAATGCAGTTGGCAGCAATAAAACGTTTTCTGAATTCACAAATCAACAAATGAGTTGTTCTGAGTTTGAAGTGAAATATGATCTGGTTGTTTTCTTTTAAATAATAAGATCGATAGCAAATATTAATAAGAAGCAGGAAATGTTATATTTTTGACGCTTTATTTTTTCATAAACGATAGTAGAGACCATCAATATATTTGCTAAGCATGACTTTTTTCTTTTATGCTTTAATGGAAGAAATAATGCCCGAAGGCCTATTAATACATCATGAGTGGTGCAGGTTGCAATTCATAAAAGAGACATCGAGACGAAACGTACTACAAGCCAGATAGAAAGATAGAAAAATAGAAATAACACTAGAGATAGGCATACCTATCCTTCACCAGCGGAAAGTAATCACGAGGGTACATGTCGCTTCCACGTGAGAGGAAGGCAAAAAGAGAGAAAAATGAGAGCAAAACGCACAAATTTCTAATCAAGCCCAGGGTACAACAAGAGGAAAAAAGAAAAAGAAAATAACAAAGAAAAACAAGAAGAAAATAAGATGGGTTCGTAGCGCGATTGATGCAAAGGTGAAAGGCGGTCAAGGAATAGTCCTTAGTTTAGGAGTAGGAAGATTGGTTTGGTTTAGTTTAATTTCATAGGAATGAGTTTGAAAATTCTGTCAGTATCTTGAAAACAGATTCATCGAAGTTGGATATTGACTTTTCTTCACTGTTCTCTAACCATTTTTAGACATTTCTCGATGGTGAAAACGTGTGGAACTATGCGTTTAGATCTGAACACATGTTTCATGACGAATGCTTTCTCCAGCCACTAAGTCCTAAAGACATTTAGGGTGTGCTGTTCGAAAAGGAGGATTCCATCTACTGATTTCTTTAACGTTTGCTTGTACTTTGTCCAGTATTTACTACATAGATTTTCTAGCTACTTTTCTTCGAATAGTAATGAGAAAATATAATTGTTCCAGAACCATACTCCTAGGGTTCGTTTCAGGTACATGAGATAAAAATGATTCAGATGGTCCCGTTGACAGTTCGTTAGCAGTGGGAATATCCCGAACAGCCACGTAAACAGCGGGAGCACGAAGGCAGAGAACAGGATTCTTCGAAATTTCTGTGTTGAGGAATCATACATGTGACAGGATTTCACGATCGCTACTATTTGCCTTATCTTATTTTTGTATTCAGTGATCATTTTTCCCCAGCCTAGCTTACATGTGATCTGGTAGGCTAGGCATTTAAAACTGTTTTTTTCAGGAGATTGCATTATCTCCTATCGAAATTTCAAATTTAGGACTTTCGATCGCTCGGGCTGTCCGTATGAGCTCAGTTTTAGCATATTTTATAGACTGGACAGATAGGAATGAATAATATTGAAGGTACTCAAATGACGATTTTAGTATCTTTTCTAGATCGAGACATTGTTGGGAGTAATTTACTCTCAAGATTCCTCCTACTATACACGCTAGGTCGCCGGCGAAGAAGGGAGGGAGGGTGTTTCAAAGAATGTCCACATATCACAATGGTATGTGATGAATATAGCAAAAGTTAAGCACGACCCGTGAAGTCCTCCTCTTCAGATAGAAAAGAACTTTGAGCGTATTCTTTTCATTTCTATAAACCCCACTCTGTCTTTAAGCCAGCTTTCAATCCATAGTAAGTAGGTCTTAGGTACGTCTAGTCTCGCTACTTTATATAAGCATCCGTCCCACCATAGCTGGTCGAACGCCTGTTTGAAATCTACAAATACTGTTGCCACTGGTATACTCGGGCTCATCAGTAATGCTATTTGATCTATAAGAATAAGTACTCGTGAATGTAGTCTGAAATTTGATCGGAATCCAGATTGGGAGTCGTGCAGATTTCCACGATTACTTAGTACCCGTTGAAATCTTGTCAGAAACAGTCACTCTAATACTTTCAGGAAGATGTCGAGCAGAGAAATCGGTCTGGTGTCACTGATTGAGCAGATATGCTCTTTTTTGCTGATAGCTTCATCTTTACATGCTTCCAATATTAAGGTTGTTACAGAGGCCCAGCTGTAGCTTAAATTAAATCACAAAATAGAAATTTATGTTTCTATTTAACCAATCAGTCAAAAATTTCCTATTTTCGATTTCTAATCTGAATCTTAATCTCTTTCCTAATTTAATCTGTTTTATTATTCCTTTTTTCCTATTTATAGTGTACAACACCCACAACCGTTCAAATAGGAGGTGGTCACTTTATAGAGGTGTTCATTTGTAGAGGTTTTACTGTATATATATCTATGTTCTCGTCTAAAGGAAACTGAATTAGTATTTATATTCGTTTCTTTCATCTTGCTTTTTCTGTTTCTGTTTCTCAAGTCAATAAAATACATTATTGACCTTGACCGCTCTTATTTCTAATACGCAATTCGTAACACGTGACAAATCTATATTTTCTTGACCCAGTGAACCAATGTATTTTAAGTACGACAAATAATAAATGAGATTATTGCGGATCTTCATTAAACCCAATTGTATGTTTATGTCGGTATATTAGCACGTTTATCGGCGACATGTGATTTAATCGTTATTAAAAAACTTGACACAAAATTTGATAAAACTTGATCTTGTTGTGTGAATATATATCCTAGCACGGCAAGTCAACATGAATGGCATGTGACTGTTAGGAACAGTATAACAGTGAAAGTACATACAAACAGATAAACTGATGGCGAAGACACACAGTCATGAGCAAGGGGGAACAAACTGATTTCTTGATTTCTTGATTTCTAGTGATTTCTATGACTGGAAATCAGTTTTTATATGATCATTGCAAACCAGCAGAAATCGTTCAGAAATGTTGAAAAATTATGAGAGATCAGTAGAAATCAACAGTGGGCACTGAAAACATTGCACGTTCTGAAAAAAAAGGGAAATTAGTAAAAATCATCAGTAATCAATAGAAATTAATATTTTTTTTTCACTATATAGTTCGAGAATTTCTGTGATTTACAGTTATTTACATTTGTTTCTTGTAACTTCTAACAACTGCGTCGTTATGCACATCTTTAATGTATGATGATTTCTAGTGATTTCTGGTGATTTTCATGCCTGGAAATCAGTTTATTCCCCCATTGGCGTCGACAATAAAAGCCGTACCGATATTGAGCACTTTTTATACAGGTATGGCATACTTGCCAAATGCATCATTTTTTAATTCCTGGGGTACCTTTCAGACATTCGTGAAATTTGTTTTTCATCTCTGATGTTCACAGATAGATAGAATAAGATGTATTGATCACAAACATTGTATGTTTCTGGAGGCTTGTCTCTTCATGCGAGACATATTAACCACATTTGAAATAGACATAAATTAGTTTCTACTGGGAGAGACCACAAATCTATGTGAACGGTTCACTCAAATTGAGCCTGTACGACGCAGAATCATTTACTCTACAAGAATATATATGAAGATCTACATATAAAAATGCTCCTAGATTGATAATGGTCAAATACCGCCCCCAATGGATCCAATGCTGTAAACAGTGATTCCTTGAACTGACAAAACCCATGGCTGCATGAGTGAATCAAAACGATTTTCACTCAAAGCTGATAACTTGGCAAGTTCTTTCTAACAACTCTTACATGCCTCAATGAAAGATAATCGATAAAAATGAGTTTGATTTAAACGATCACGAAACACTCCGATAAACTGCTAAAAATAATCTGTATGAAAAGAGCTCATCGCTTTATCTATTGTAAGTGAAAACCACATTGTTTTCTTCTCGTTTTCTATTACACCGTAAGCTCACTATTTATAGCATTGAACCCATTGGGCACGGTGTTTGACCATTATCAACCGATGAGCATTCTTATATGTAGATCTTCATGCATATTCTGATAGAGTAAACGATTCTACGTCGAGTAGGTTCAATTTAAATGAATTTTTCACATCGATTTTCGGTCTTTTCCGCTAAAAACAGATTTTGGGCTCTTCCAAAAGTGCTTCATATGTCTCTTATGAAGAGACAAACGTTCGAAAGCACATAATACTTGAGATCAACACATGTCATTCTATCTACGTATTTGTGAACAGTAGTAATGGTAAAAAACAAAAATTTTTTCACGAGTGCCTGATGATACTTCAGAAACGTAAAAATGATACTTTTGCAAAGTACACCTTACAAATATAAAGTATCCGGATCGATACGGCTTTTATTATCGACACCAATTGTAGCTTTATTTAGCATCGACGACGAATTTTCATTAAACGTCGTTATTAGCGACACTTTTTTTTATAGATGTTGAATGTCATCTGTTGGACTTTTCTGGCTTATTACGCTGAAATTTGTTTATCATCAATACGTGCAGCATGATAGAGATCTATATGCTCTACAGCATTGTTCAATAGACCTTTTCTGTATTTCTTAAAGAAAGCGTGTCCTTCAGTCAGTTATATGACAAAGAGAACGCATAATAAGAGACATGGTACATCAAGTCCTAGATATCGAGGTTGAACGAACACTATGTAGTAGTTACTATTCAATCATGTGTCATTCATCTATAAGATTTTTCGTACTAATTTATGACTACTTTATGAAATAACGAATATAAGGAGCTTTCAGTTGTTCTACAATTAAAACTTCTAGCGACTGGCTACCGAACAAGTACTAATTTTGCGATAAATTTAATAGAAATTGAATAAGAATAAAAGAATATTGTATATTTATCTCTTATGTCTAATAATTTGAAAAAGTTGAAAAAGCGTTATCTAAAATGATCTCTTGTGATTTCTAGCATTATAAATCAGTTTCCCTCCTTGGTCATGAGTGCAAAATAAATCTGAATTCATTTTAAAAAAGAATAAATCCAATTATGTTCGGATACGCTTGTAATCATTGTTGAAGACGATACTTGCATCGAGAATTCGCATTTACCAAAACAAAATGGGATAGGAAATTTTTCATAAATAACGAAACTCATCGAATAGAGCGACGATGCCTTTCTTTAACAAGTCATTTCGAGCAGAAAACAAAAGAATTTGAACTTAAGTCTCCTAATTATATACGCATACGAGTTAATCTTTAGTCACCATCATACAACGCCAAATAGAACAGTATTTGTATAGTGTTTATGGTCGGATGGATTTGCTTTGATCATTCAACCCTAATCTAGTCTATCGATGTACGAGCATTCGTAATCAATTGAATTATTCTTTTTTGTTTTGCTGTGATAAACAAAACTATTGTAATAGTAACATAATTACAGAAAATTACTCTTTTTGGTAGTTGTTGAGCGATATGGAATACACGAAAATTAAAAACAATGGAGGAAATCATACAGAAAGTGAATACTCAACTCTGATGCAAAATACAAATCAACAAACAAAATAGATTATATTGTATCGACAGCAATCGTAGATGATGAGGAAGATAATGTTGTCTCAAGAATTTTAGATGTATGATTTCGAAGTGATTCAACAAGATTAAGTTGAACACTAGCTAATGAACTGTTGATAAGATACTGCGGAAGCCAGCCCTATCAAGAAAAATAATTCATAAACATATAATTTAGATCATGAATGAAATCATTTACTTTTAAGTTAACATTAAGCAACCACGTAAATTTACAAGTTGCTTCATCATTTTTTTCCACAACATACGCTGTTGGCCCATTCTCTCCTCTTTTATGTTAGAAATTCGATATAGATTTCAATCATATTTATATAACCAATAAAACTTACCGAACACAACTAGAAGGACAATAGAATAGCTTCAAACAAAGAAAGAAACTCTCTTACCTATTATTTGGCGGCATTTTCGAGTGCAGACATGCTTGCGCTGCTAGTATTGCAGTATCATCAATAAATCGACGTACTGCTAAATTGACAAAATCACGCTTGGCAATAAAACCTTGTGCTTGTTCATTTGTTAGTTGATAGCTAATTGAGAACGAAAGAAAAAATGAATTCTAAACATCACAATATATTTACTTACGTTATATACAAATCATCATTAATGACTTCTAATATCTATACAAAACAAAGCAAAGCCATAATAAAACAATACAAAATCTTATTTTCACAAAATGAGGATTCGTATTCGAAGATGTCTTGGCGGGTGATTCTCTATACGGGAATTTATATTTCCTATTAATCTCAAAAGATAATCGCCTTCAACATCAGGCAAATATTGAATAGAAAATTATCAATAGTAAAAGATTACTTCTGTTTTTTTTTCTTAGATGCACCAATCTGTCTGTCAAGAACAGAAATTAAATTAGATGGTGATAGAAAAATTTGCTATTGTTTAGCAAGTAAAATATAATTAATTATTTTTTAAGTAAAATTCGCTAGATTATACTTGTCAAAAAACGCTTATCGTGACACATGCATGATAATTTCTCGTGGATTCGTACTCATATGACAGTCATTTAAATAAATGAAAACTACAATCGGCGACGTTTACCCTATTCGCAATTGGCAAAAAAAAGTATATTTAATTAAATCTAAACATACTTTACAATCATTCACAGATGGACTCCATTTTGGAATATCTTCTTGTCGTTCAAATAGCATTTCGACAATACCAGAGTAAGATCCTGGGATAATGCTCTTGAAATCATAAGTTTTAAAGTAAAAATCTTATGTTTTCTGAATGGGATTGTCTTACAGTGACTCGGAAAATTCTTCCCCACTTCGGAAACTCTTTTGAAACAACAACATCAAGTCCATCGCGACTTTTTGCTTCTTCTGTCCAAGCATTTTCATCTTTAAATATTTTCCATATTTCATCAATAGTTGCATCTGCTTGCTTTTCATAATCATCGTTCGTATCATTGTTATCGAAAACTACTGATGATGATGATGATCTTTTTAATACAGATTTTGCTACATTTGACTCGGAATGAACAGTTCGAAGTGATTCTTGTGTTAGTGCCTTTTCATCAATTCCTATCGTGCAAAAATAAAAGAACAATCAATCGGTTTTGTTTTCATATAAAAAGTGAATAAAAAACTATTAGTGTACTTGCCTGATGCTGAAAAATTTCTTAGGAAATTTGGAGTTGTTACTGCCGATTTCATTTAACAGATCTTAAAAGAAAGCAATAAAATGAAATATATATATGATGCAGCCCTAGACTACTGTATCAAGAAGACCATCTGTTATTATGGTAATTGCTGTCAACTCACGCTCATCATGTTCTACTTTTTTTTCCTATCCTTCCTTTTTTTATTCGTCTGTTTTCTGTCTTTTGGATACAAAAAGAAAAAGCATAGGACGAGCATGGCGTGAGCCATCCCTTTGACATCACATCAATCGAGAGTGCAAGAAGCATCGAAAGATTGATGTTTGTTCGTTGGCGTTTGTCATAGTATGATGATTTTATTATGCTGCTCATCAATTTGTCTAGTTTTTCTCCTACATGAATGATATGATCGATGCCTTTGCACTTGATTTACTGCAAGAGAGAAAATAACGATTAGATCATAATCAAATCAATAATTGATTTCGTTTTTTACGTATTTTTCTCGTATGATGTTTTCATCAGGTATTCTCAAAACAAATTAGAAAACTCATAAATCAATTTCTTCTATTACTTTCAACGTCAAAATCTTTCGTGCCGATGATAGAAGTCATGTTTACTATGAGAAATATTTTTATACAAAAATACAGGCAATGAGCGGAAGCGTGAAAGCTTAGATAAGAAAAAACAACTTAAAATCATCGTTCGAAGTCCTACTACGCTGGGCGGGGTAGCTTCACTCTGATTACAACTGCTGAATCCATAAGAAAAAAAAAGATGTTCGTAGCGATGCTACAAATATGTTATTTTCTTCTAGTCTATTATTTGCGTCGTACTAAATTGGCAGCTATAAAGACCTAAGATAATATTTCATAATGATAAATGTTAAAGATTAATAGAACTGGTAATTATATCTATTCAAGCAAAAACATATTGACGTCCATTAAACAATACATTATTTCATGAGCGTAAAGAGAAGACTGACTCAAGAAAACAGCAGTTTTTTGTATCATGACGATATGAAAAATGAATTGTATAATAAAAAACGAAGGAATTATTACAACATAGTTTTAATTTCATAAATTCTATGATTCACTTGTTTGGTTTTGGTACCGAGCTGCTAACATGATCGTGTACGAGCTGCAATTTTTTTAAATATTTTCAAGAAAATAGTCGCATACAAACTAACCGTTTTTGCTTGTCGGCTTTGTCTTCAAATCATTCCTCTTGGAAGAAAATTTGCACCCGTTAGCACAGAATCTCGCTTTATCAAACATGTTTTCTCATGATATGTCTACGAAAAATTCTAGTAGATTTTAGCTCCAAGTTTTTCTTCGCATGAACGATGTCATTGAATGCATATTGCTTTAGTATTTTTGGATTATTCTTCATGAACAAAGGCTTGCACATATTGATAGATATGTAAATATATTAGCAGACATTCATATTTCTAGTTTTACTACAGTAAGAAAATACAAAAATACTCAAACCACAATGTTTTTTTTAATCGTTTTTGGCACCATCTGCTATATAAAAAAAGGATATTTTCATCAACGTATTCAAATAGTCATATTAAATAAATAAGCTCGGGAGCATTAGATTATTGTTGTTTCTAAATATGACATTCAATAAGCTATCGGAAAGTGTTTAGGATACAGATAGTGTGCGTTTTTTGTAGTAGAATGGGTAGCTTTGATTAAAAAAAACATTCCCTTTAATAAAAAGCTGTAGCTGTCAAATAAATAAATCTAATTCATTTAACCCACGCTGACTGTAATCACAACGAACTCAATGAAATCAAAACGTACTGTCACGTGCAAGGTATACTCAAAACAAAGAAAGCCAATGAACCGTGCGTGAAATAAACAGATTTAATCATACATTATCAATAATATCGACGAAGAAATTTCAATGCGATATTATTCGAAGAAAAATTCAACATTGAAATCATAGTTGAATTTAAAAAAAAATATGTTCGTGTAAGATCAAAAACAAATTTCTATTAGTACACTGAGTGTTTTATAAGAGACAGACATAGCTGCTTTAATTTTTAATGAACTATGAATTGAACAGATTCATTATTTAGTAGGCCTACACCTTGAACATATGTGAAATGTCATTTGTTAAACACTTACTTGAACTAAAGAAAAATAGCTGCCTTAACATTTTATAATTCTATACGTATAGGTATACGAGTGAATAACTACCGCACACGAATATTTGGCTTTTGCAATATCCCCTACTTTATAACCTTGACTAGAATGATTCAGAGCTGACAATCATAATCATTTTCTTTACAATAGAAAAATTAAAACATAACTACTATTCCCCAAGAAGCGACTAACTTTTTGTTTAGATATGGCCAAAAAAAACGTTTAACATAAGAAGTCATGTTACTTTTACATATACCCGTTGAACCTGTGAATGATTCTTTTCTGTCAGTAAAAAAATTAAAAACCAAGGAAATCACATACATTAACTATTGATGTTTTCTTTGTAGAATCAATATGTAGATAAAATAGTAAATCATTCACGACTGCAAATAAAGCACTTAGCTAATAAATATATTTTGCATTGATGAACTAGTTAAGATTCATTGGGCACTTGTTTCTTTCGTCAAGGATATGTTTTTCGATTTGATCTCCTGGTGGCAGCAATTCACTCTTATTTCTACGAGAGTAGAGACAAGATATTAATAAAAAATTGTCAACAAGGTCACTTGAAAAGCAATTAAATAGCCACAGGCGGTGCAAATAAAACCGATATCGTAAAACTAAAATCTTTATTTTGATAAATGCTAATTTTTCACTACAAAATAGATACTACAGGCTTTCAGCATATATCGTCAATAGGAAAAAAACAATGATTTAAATCGTAGAGAAAATAAAGATAACAATTTAATATTGACAATAAAATTCTGTATCTAAATATGAAATGTTAAATAAGCATGCAGCTGGTTTATATTCAGATTGAGAAGCCACAATCATATGTCAGCATATTCTCTTTGTTTATAGCTCAGAGAAAAAGAAAGAAATGTTTAAAATTTTTGTAATCAAACGAAGAACGATTAGTAGAACAAAGAAAAAAAACTTGATTAATAAGCTATCAGTCAAAAGGAATGATAAAGATAAGTAAGAGCAAAAAGAAAACGTGATGTATTGTTGTTGTTTTGACGAAAGAACTTTTCTTAATTACATTATATAAAGAATTAAATAAATAAGTTTTGGTTCTATTCGGTTTTTTTGAGTTCACCGGCCGCAGTGGCAGTACCATTGAGTTCTGAATCTTCAGCTGCATAGACACTGGGGGTTTCGCCTGGCTTGAGAAGTCGACCAACAATATCATATTTTTCTATAAAATAACGAGACAAAAGAACACAACAATTTTCTACATAGAAAATAATCGATCAATTATATAAAATACCACGAAAATCTTCATGCCAATTTCTAGCAGTAGCTCGTTCAGCATCACAAAGATCAGCGAGATCATCGTATTCATCTGCAAATAACGATTGTGTCAATTGCATTTTTGATAATGCTCGTGTTGCATCTCGACCAGCGAATAATGAATAAGCTCCACCTATTGAAATAAACAAACGAACATAAATGACATTGAAAAATAACAGAAAAGAATAGTTCACCTGGTCCATATAAATCACTTCGACGACTTACATCGAATATATCCCCATAGATAACTGTAAGAATTCGACCATTTGAGTCTGTACCATTGTATTTACGTAATTCTTCTATTGTCAAATCTTGTTTAGCCATTTTGGGTAAGGGTGGTGGGACTGTCGATGAACTTGGGCTATGTGTTGGTGTACGTTTTAATAAAAACAGTTTAACAAGTAAAAATATAATCAAAAAGACAAGAATTAGATTTATTGGACTTGTCCAAATATCATTGAAAAGACGTTGTAGTAATCCAAGTACCATTCCTGTTAGTGTTTCGCTTGATTCACTGTCCATCTTAGAATACCTAGCCACAATCAGCGTAGACAACAAATGAGTAGTTTTAAACTGTAATGAAAATAACCAGACGCTTCTATAGTAACCAATCATATGCATACACGTTTAGATTGGTTAACATAACTTCCATTCGTATGCACATTATTAAGACAGAAAAAAAAGATAGAAATATTTTCTATTTAAATTAATTTTGTAAAAATTTAACCCTTTAATTGGAACAATGCTGATTCTTGGCACACTATTCATAATTCAATACGATCTACCTATTCTGCATTTTTATTTACGACACATAATGGATTTTATGACAGTAAAACATATTATATTTTAATAACGTAATACTTGAGCTAGACGTAAAGTCAAAGAAAATCTTATCTGTATTGTCAAGAACGTTAGAGATAATCTTCTTGGATTAAAATTTCTTTTTCACTAATGCATATCAAACATGAAGTTCAATGAATTGCTAAAATATTTTTGTAAAACGCTGAAAAAATTAGTTTGTTTAGCTAAACAGAATCAAAATTATTATGGAAAACGATCGATTCTATTTGATGCAACAAAACTTTGATAAGTAACCTGTAAACATTTATTTTTATTTTGTGAGACAAAGAAAAACAAATCAAAATCGATTAAAAACATCCTTAAATAAAGATGGATTTAATATATGTTGACCAACATGAATAGGTACTTGTTCTTCTTCGGCATCAAGTTCTGTATTTGCATCATCATGTTCATGTTCAGGATCGGGTACTTCGAGATTTGTATTTTGAATGTGTTGTTTAGCAATAAGACTTAAACATTGAAATGTTCGTGGTTCATATATAGCTAGGTCAGCAAGAATAGCTGGTGATAATTGAATATTTTGTCGTTTAAGACTAGCTGTTAATGTATGTTGTCGTAAACCATGTTCACGAGCAGCTGCATCTATTCGTGTATCTTGTAGTTCAGCTTCAAATATTGGTTTAAATTGACGAGTACGTGATGCCAAACGCCAACGATTTCTCAAATAAGGGTAAGCTATTTTAAAACACTGTCGGCGACGACCATCACTTCCAAATGTAAATCGAAATGTTTCTAAACGCCACCATTTATTATCTGTTCGTTTACCTGGAATAGTCCTTTTTAATAACCATTCAGGTGTTGGTAATTTACGAAGTAAAGACGTAAGAAATACCATTATTTTATATGTATTAGTATCAAAGAATAGTGAACATATGTATTATATGTTTGTTTCAGAGAAATAAAAGCAAAAGTATTGGCTGATGAAAAGCATATAAGAGATCAGTAGGTAGGATATATTGATGCAAATTCAAAAGATGGCGCTACAATATGATGTTCTTTTTCTCGGTATATTTAATTATATTATAGAATATAGTTTGTTATTGAAACTATAATAACTTGTAGACTTTAAAAAAAAAACATGTTCAACTATTACATCTATTATGTGTCTAAATAAAATATTCTTCGCTTGAAATCAACCTGTTAGAGAGTACTCTAACAAGTTATTTATTTATTCGTATACGTTCTTGCTTCGTCTTTATAAGTTATATATTTCTTATATGTGCAATCCAATTCGGAGTGGGATGTAGATATTGATGCACTTCGTATGGTATAAGCTTAGGATACTATGACTTTGGATTCTCATTACCCAGTGTAATGCTATTATGACATCTATGGAAATATTCAACCATTTTGCGATACAGACCAATATAATATGAAAATTTTATCTATGCACTTATAGATACATAGTTACCAGTTCTTAAAAACCGAACTGGTTCAAGGTGTCAGTTCTCAAAAAAAGAGCTAGTTCCAAGAAATGGTAGCTGTCGCAGGTCTAGCACCATCATCTTTGTATACAATATAGTCTAGCCGAAGAAGCAAATGTCTTTTCTTCCTTTCTGCCTTTCTCTCTCTCTCTCTCTCTCTCTCTCTCTTGTGTGTGTGTTGTACAGTATAAATAGAAAAAAAAAGAATAATAAAACATATTAGAAGGGAGATTAAGATTCAGATTAGGAATCAAAAATAAGAAATTTGTTGTTGATTGGATAAATAGGAAAATAAATTTCTATTTTGTGAATTGATTTAAGCTACAGCGGGAGCTCGGTAACACAACCGATGGAAAATTCAAAAAGTACTGATAGTTTTTCATATCATAGAATTGTACAAGCGCTAGTCAATACATTTTGTATTTTTGCCTTGAAAACTTTAGGACAGTGATTGCTAGATTCATCATGAACAGTTTCATCTAGGGTCTGAGATATCTCTATTAGGTTTTTCAATCGACGATGTGTGAGTATAGTATTAGCGGAGATCCCGTTACTAACATCCACAACTACAATCCGATGGTCACTTTTAATAAGCTCGAAACTTTATCAGTTAGTACTGACCTGTTTACTTGGCAGCGTCTTCGTATTCCAGTTCTTCTCTTTAACGTGTGATAAAATATTTTTCTTATCAGTTGAAGTCATTTTTATTGTTCGAAACTGCTTTTAGTTTTCTATGCTTAGAACACGAAAATGTTTGAATTTATAAACTCACACGTTAAAATCGCAATCAACTCAGCAACAATTTTGCTAGAGAAAAGCTGAATGACGACAAAAATCACATACATACGCTAAAACGTTTGAAGGAGCTATGTATGTGTCGCTCTTTACTAGCATCAGCCATACTACACAACCATATATGAGCTACGTGTCTTAACAAAAGAACGAACCAAAACAGTATTTTTCCATGGCGCGTCTTGGCATCAAATCACAGAAGAGAGAAGCTTCAGAAGTTTGCTTTAACGGTGAATTAAAAAGATCCATCATTTTTCTGTGGATGTAGGCGAGCGCAGTATAAGAGGATTTCACTCACACTACTGACCAACTATTATAAATGGGTGTTTCCGACTACTTTCCATCTATTACATCTTTGATTACAAATGAATATCCAAAAATTTCTCATGGTCATGCTGGAATCAGCCGTTTACACTTTACATGAGTACTGTTAATATTTGTTTCTATTTCCGCTCTTTATCATCAGTAGACCGGTCGAACCGGTATATGAGTCAGTTCTCTTCGGGCTGACCTAAGTAGGTCTGTCCCAGTCGTCATGAATCTAGACCGGTTCAATCTCGATCGTTCATCATTTATGAGGTTCATAGTAGTAGGGCAAACATTGTGCTTTTTCTCATGATTTTCTCGGAAGAATATAACAATTCTGGCCAAACGTTGTCCTGACCATGTGTTCAGATAATATTCAGTCATATATACTTTCGATGGGTAAATAAAGAGTAACCATGTTAAAACAGGTGGTACCCCCTGTAGTGATTCTATCAAGACCTTCACAATGAATTCTACCATTGAAATACCACATTCAAAATACAATTGGCTAGTATTCTGCGTGTTGGTGACAATAGTATAAGGAATATAGCCGACGGCATATGCAATCGGTGGTATAAAAATGAATAAATGACTGTAAAATAGTTTAAGATATGTTTTTATGAACGATCCATTCTCCGTTCCGTATCGACGTATACGGCGTGTAAAACTAATTAAAATTAACAAGGTTCCGAATACATATGTTGATAGGCCGGCGACACCGCTAAACCAACCAAAAAATACACGCGCAGTCTGTAAACCCGGTATATTACCAAAGTCACAATTGTACACCATCATTGGTATAGCAGAACCACCAGCTATGGCTGAGAGAACTGTAATGGTGCAAACCGATCGCCACCGAGTCGCATTTGTTTTACTATCCAAACATACGATTAAACCACGTTCGAATGCAATACACGCATTAAGCCATATACATGCATAGACAAGTGCATTGTAACCTATTTTACCGAAGTAACAACCGTAGCCAAAAAAATTGCTCAGATTGCTGTTTGGTCTTTTATCTTGATAATACTCAAGACTTTGATTAACTACAAATGAAATACTTGACAGAATTGATACAATAGAATAAACGATTAAATAAATGCCACAGTTCGTACGACGAACTCGACCGCAGCCGATGAATAGTTCGAGACCGAGAATGTTATTCAAAAGTGAGACAAATAGTGCAACTATAGAGACGATTAAGTAGACGTAAGTTGTATCAATCTGTGACTGGCTTGGAATAGTGTGTTCGCAAACAGATCCTTCATAGCAGGAAGCACATTCACAATAAGTCGTATTCGAAGTAATATTTACACCACACTGTCCATTGTTAAGACAATTTAAGGTGTTCTGGCTACAAAGATTAGCCATGAATTAATTTAGAAGAGGAATGATAAAACTACAAATACATGAACATGAATAAGAAAATGATCAAGGCGTATACCGATAGCGATCTTTTCCAGCTACGAACTTAAAATAGCTCGTTTGTTATCGATTTTCTCGTTGCTGAGTCTTATAACCACATCAAATACCTGAATGTTGCATGAAAAAATGAACAGAAAATGGCGGTGCTATTTTCTCTTCATGCACCATGAACGTGAACACTCACATCCACACCGCTGATAAATACTATACTGACGCACGTTTTTTTCAATGCTACACCAACGAACATGAGTTTGCTATTTCAGTCAAAAACAATCGTTTCAAAGATATAGAGTATATATACTACTATTAGGAGGATAAGAAAAAACGAATAAATTAAGTGAAGAACACAAATCTGATAGGAAGTGAAGGCCGATGGCAATATTAGTACGCCTCAAGTACTGCTATTCATTCTGAATGTGTGAATCATCTATGACAGCATGTGTACTTTCCACTAGAGCTAATTTGTTTTTGATCATGTCGCATAATATTAAAATCAAAACGGCATTCGATGCGGTGAAATATGTATTGCAAAGATTAATTTGATTCGTTGTTCTTGTGGGTGTCATTTTATGTTTGTTTTGGTTTTTAGAAAGTAAACCGTAAGTACAGTATTTAACTGAAGGGAAAAACCTGATAGTAACCAACACAGGGCGTGGATGAGAGGATAAAAAGATGTAAATGTGGTTTATGTCGTTATTGATACACACGCACACTCATTTTTGTCGCATGGCCATTGCTTTTGTTAAGCAATCGAACATGACATCAGCACTAGAGAAATCACGATTCCTGACATGAACATGTTGACTCAACATATCTATAATAACTTAAAAGAGTAGTCTAGCTTGGATGATATACTATTCAATGTTGATGATGATGAAAACAAATATAACATCAGCTAAAGCTGACTTTCAAGGCATTAATATCTGAGATAATATTTGCATATACAATACGCTCCTTGGTTGTTAACGGATGAGGATAAACATATTTTTTCTGATTGTTGATCCTGAGTCATGTAGACAAACAGAAACAATATTGATAAATAAATTATTTCTTTCGCCAATTTTCTTCTTCGATGGATAAATTAATATTTGTCTTTTCACTAATTTAGGCGTTTCATTAGTCATTTCAAATTCTTGATTCCATTAACATATAGTCTGATATGCTATATTTTACCTTGATGTCCGTTTCAACATGTGATTATATATTTTTGTGCTTCATTTCCTCAAAGGTAACTCTAAGATAATTTGAGCTGATAGTCTCATAAAAGTAATTCTCAAAAGCAATTTTTAGAATCAATGATTGTTGATGACGTCATAGGGCAACGAAAACACGTATTAAGAATGATGTAAGGAGACTTTTGTAGCATGCTTTTTCGCATACATCTGCATGTAAGCCCTTCACAGTAATCAAAATCAATGAATCGAGTCGAAAAATTGATTGATATGGAAATGGGATAGAAATATCCAAATTTGCTCGCATATACATCCATTATTCGACAGCACAAGTGATATAGTGTTCTTAGGATCAATAGTATGCACTATAATAGATGGACCGCATATTGATATATAACGGAAGCTGATTGAAATTTCGATAGACTATCTGTACCAGTAATCGTTGAAACAACGTATCCTTTCCGGTACATATGAATCATCTGGCACGTAGAGTTTAAAAATCCAGCGATTGTTTTTCTCATTAAACATCACTGTGCTGCATCATGCCCAATGTCAAACACATAACATTACCTATCTATAAACGAATTTAGAGAACGAAAAGAAATCTATGGTTGAATGAAGACATCAAAACAAAACTTTTCTCGAAGATATTAAATATATTGGGATTGGGAGTACGATCAAAGTAGCATAAAATATCGAAAAACTCGTCTCATGTCTATAATGGAATCAGCCATTTACACTTTGCATGAGCAGTTCTGAAATTTGTTTCTATTTTCTTTGCTTATCATCATCTATAATTCAATGCAAGATGTTTCAATAGAGAACGGATGACATTGATCGATTATCTGCCTATTGATAGAACCGGTATATTAGTCAGTTCAGTTCGATCTGACCAATTAGACTGATGCCAGTCCTCTGAAATCTGGGTCGATTCCATCTGTATTTCGTCATTTATGAGGTTCATAGTAGTAGGGCAAGCATTGTGCTTTTTCTCATGATTTTCTCGGAAGAATATAACAATTCTGGCCAAACGTTGTCCTGACCATGTGTTCAGATAATATTCAGTCATATATACTTTCGATGGGTAAATAAAGAGTAACCATGTTAAAACAGGTGGTACCCCCTGTAGTGATTCTATCAAGACCTTCACAATGAATTCTACCATTGAAATACCACATTCAAAATACAATTGGCTAGTATTCTGCGTGTTGGTGACAATAGTATAAGGAATATAGCCGACGGCATATGCAATCGGTGGTATAAAAATGAATAAATGACTGTAAAATAGTTTAAGATATGTTTTTATGAACGATCCATTCTCCGTTCCGTATCGACGTATACGGCGTGTAAAACTAATTAAAATTAACAAGGTTCCGAATACATATGTTGATAGGCCGGCGACACCGCTAAACCAACCAAAAAATACACGCGCAGTCTGTAAACCCGGTATATTACCAAAGTCACAATTGTACACCATCATTGGTATAGCAGAACCACCAGCTATGGCTGAGAGAACTGTAATGGTGCAAACCGATCGCCACCGAGTCGCATTTGTTTTACTATCCAAACATACGATTAAACCACGTTCGAATGCAATACACGCATTAAGCCATATACATGCATAGACAAGTGCATTGTAACCTATTTTACCGAAGTAACAACCGTAGCCAAAAAAATTGCTCAGATTGCTGTTTGGTCTTTTATCTTGATAATACTCAAGACTTTGATTAACTACAAATGAAATACTTGACAGAATTGATACAATAGAATAAACGATTAAATAAATGCCACAGTTCGTACGACGAACTCGACCGCAGCCGATGAATAGTTCGAGACCGAGAATGTTATTCAAAAGTGAGACAAATAGTGCAACTATAGAGACGATTAAGTAGACGTAAGTTGTATCAATCTGTGACTGGCTTGGAATAGTGTGTTCGCAAACAGATCCGTCATAGCAGGAAGCACATTCACAATAAGTCGTATTCGAAGTAATATTTACACCACACTGTCCATTGTTAAGACAATTTAAAGTGTTGTTGTAGCATATATCGATCATGCTTTAAGCTATATAATAGTAAATACAAAGGAATATATACAATAGCATGAATAAGAAAATGATGATCAAAGTATATAGTGATCTGGATCTTTGTAGCTGTGAACTAGAAACATTTCGTCTGCTATTGATTTTATATTCTTATTAAATACGTGATTATTGTATAAAAAAAAATGAGCACAGTGTCGATACTATTTTCCCTGTAACAGAAGTCAACAATCGCACCCTATCTATTCAAAATTAAACAATGATTTTTTGGAAGAAAATATCTCTGCTGTAAATTTTCTCGCTGGACTCTCTCCCTAGATTCAATTCTATTTGTTCCTAGAAAATCCTAGAAGAATCTTTCAGGATCTTCGTAGCATTAATAGATAGAATTCTATTAAGATTTGAACAAGCTTTAGTTTAGTATTCTAGCTAAATGAATAGAGAGCGTAGCAAAGATATCAGAAGAGAATGTAGCTATGACTGTTGGTTGAATTTACGATGCACTGATTACACAAGAGTATACCCAGATTTTTCGAGGCTCTGTGTAGAATCCTCTCAGAGTTACAGACTGAGCAAATACAGTTGAAACTTTACTTTAGTAAAGATTCTAGTGGCTGGTCATACTTTTGAAATACCGTGGCTGTACGCTTTCTAAAGAATGTTATTGTTTTCTCAGAAAAAACAAGCGAATCTGCTAAAGATCTAGGAGAAGCATCGAGGATTTTTGCTAGAGCGTCGCGCTCTTTGTGTTCGAAGCTATACATTGAAACAGCACTTATTATTTTGTATGTTGATTAAAATGAATACTTATTTGTTGAAATTGGTTAAGCAGTTGCCAAATGTGCTCGGATGTTATGTCTGACAATGACTAGATTTCAATAGAACACCGGTATAAATATGAATGGTTTTGTATGGTCGTTTAATGTTAAGAATAAAGCTACACCAAGTGATATGAGTTTGCTCTGTAAGATCAAAAACAGTGCGTCAAAGATGGATACTCCCCATAACCGGTTAAAAAAGTGAACAAAATGAAATGAAGAACACAAATTTGATAGAAAGAAAACGTTGATGGTAATATTAGCGCACAGGGATACTTTTATTTATTCGCAATAAGTGAATAATCTATGACAGCATGTGTACTTTCCATTATATATAATTTTTGTATGATCAAATCACAGAATATTAAAATAAACGATATTAGGATGCAGTGAAATATATGAGGAGTAAATAACGTCTACTCTTTCTGCTTGCAGGTGGCGCTTCATGTTTGTTTTACGTGGAAAAAAGTAATGTAAAATAAAGTATTTAACTCAAGAGAAAAAAATATGATTGCAATCGCAACAATCATCTATAATCAATGCCAATCAACTGTCCCCCTTGATTAAACCTTACATCTTTTTTACCTGTAACTACAGCTACTCAAGTTTAGTATATCAGAGAAATGGGTTGGATATTGGTGTCGACTGTATGATTACTGTTTTGTTAATTCACTGGCCTTACTTTATTGTTCATTCATCTTGATCCTTTCATTCTCTCTTCTGCTAGTTGAATATTTAAGCGTGCAACTTTTATGCATACGACATGATAATATTGTATGAAAGAACAGAATAAAGTATAATACCATCATAAGAGTACTTCTTATATCAGAAATCGGCAAAACAACAAATTCTTCTATTTAACTGAAGCATTTTTTAGGGCCTATATTACGATTACATGTCTTCAACAATCGTTGGGTTGATGCATTAAAAAGGATCGACGTTTATTTTTGAAATTCAATTTGAAAATGTTTTCTACAACTTTTGCTGGTGTCGATGGAGAAAGTCTGCGCCTATTCACATAGTTACAAGTATTTTTTCATCTCTATCCTCTATCTATAATTATTTTTGTCAATTATGGAAATACAATGATAATTTAATAGTGTTAGATTATTTTTTTCCATATTTTTTGCTCATGTATTGACGAACATTGGGATAAATAAATCGTTCAATATTTGACGTATTGGTTGCTGGTTTTTGAAAGTATTGTCGAATCAGTGTCGAACTTACATCAGTGAGTTTCTTGCGTTCCTTTGCTAATGGAATATAAATACAGTCTGCTGTTTTAACTGAACGACTAATCAGCTGTTCGTCACACCCAACTCGGTAGACAATAGCACAAGACATGTTATCTTGTTTTGCCATTCTTTCAACATAAGAACATTTGTTAAAGTGATCTAGTCCACATATATAGACCACACATAATGGATATCTAAGAATCTTTTGTTGATCTACCAGTGTGCCATTCAGAAAATCACGAAGATTTTCAGTGACAGGACCAAAATCAACAAATCCATCGGACCATTCACTTTCACCTCGTGAAACACTAACCCAGGATGATACATCTGAGCCCTGTTCCTCGATAGCTCCGTCACAAAGTTGGCACCGGTCTCTAGCTGAAATCCATGCCGAATCACCCAATTTCCCATGTACATATGAATCACTTGAAGAAATAATGATATGCATATAAATTTCTAGGTATCGCATAAGAGAGAAACATATTGAAACAAAACATACTGTGTTGGCGAGATGTATCCAGCGAGAACGTTCCATGGTGGTTGATGCTCACATTCGAGAAATTTTTTGACATTAAGAAGATTTTGTAAGTGCAAAGGATGAATAGGATTAAAGGAGCCAGTTGTGATTAACACACAACTACAGATAGACAATAGTACATACAAAATCAAACAACCAAAACAAATTACTGCGCAAGTGAATATATTTTTGCCAGTTTTTCTTCTTTCTATTTAGTTTTATATCGAGCACTAACAAACAGTTTTTTTTATTGCAAAAGTATCTAGCTTCTAGCTTTTATACACAAACCAAAAGAATAATTCTGCATAAAATATAATGATACAATCACCAAGTGCTGATGACAGATCTGAAACTTCATAAGCGCGCTCATATTTTGGAAAGGCTGTTAGCGCAATTCATGTGAGATTAATATGTGAAACACGTTATAACTCGTGTCAATAGGGACACAAATGTTATTTTATTCGATAAATTTTGGAACTCATTTATTCATCACGATTTCATTCAGTCAACAGAACTGTAACGAGAAGGCAGTTTATATGTTTTCGTGAAATTCTAGTAATATATAATAGTTAATCATATTTCAACAAGTCTGCCATATTCTTACTATGGAAGGTTCCTGGGCGGTGGCCCAGAGATCTCGACAAAACCTATGTGGGTTTGCGAAATCAAGTGTTGATATCTCAAATATAAACAAGTTAGCGGCTGAGAGCAAACAAATAAAAAAACTTCAGTGAACTTATTTTGTACAACCCTGAGGTGTAGTATGAATGTTTTTTCATAAAAAAAAACCTCCCCCGTGTCACTCCCAAGGGGGGAAAAGCGTATTTCTGAAATACATGGAAATGCAGAAATACGCTTTTCCCCTCTTGGGTTATGCTCACGGCAATATATATATATCAAGTGCGATTCTCATAGTATGGAATCGTTTTGTTATACGGCAGAATTTGACATATAATTGATAGCTGTGATAAGTCATATACGATACATAGAAAACCTTTTTTTCCTATATCGCTCACTATTCAGGTATTCTGAAAGTAGAGCAGGCGGATAATGACAAAAAAATAAAATAAAATATTCACTATCATTAGTCATAGTTGAATCTTTTGTCGAACCTTCATATAAAACAAATTCTAGGCTTTTATTCAACGATTATCATATCACTTCAGATTCAAATGTTTGTTTTTCTTTCCGTTAGATTTATGCAATCATTTGAAATTCTTATAGAATAATAGTAAAAAAAGCTTCATTGATTCGGATTTTTGTTTTTGAGAAAATATTGTTTAATCCGACAGTTTCGCGACACTAAAATTGTACTGAAAACGTCAGTTGAACCCATTATGAGTTGCTGAAAGTGTGCTTCATCTTCAACAATGACGTTTAAAAGAATTGATTTTATCATGAACACTAGTTGATCACAATTGTTCTTTTATTTTCAGAATCAAAATCAATAGAACAGAAATGTTGATGTATTTCTTCAAGGGCATATTTTGTTTTGTATCACGCGAGGTCTGGGCAAAAACAAGTACACACTATTTTTAATGCAAATGGCAAGACAACATTCTCTCTCTCTCTGCTGCCTACTCCTAATCTCTCAGTAGGAGTCTTATAAGGATTATCTAATGTTCCAAACGTAAGAAGCCTATTTATTGTGATACATCTGTGAAACATTAAATTACCCAAATAACAGTGCTTTCATTTTAAGTCTATTATATTTGAGTAAATCTTGTAAACTGTTGTTTTTTGACAACTAATAAGTAAAAGTTTCGTTTCAGATATAATAGAATCAATCTACAACGAAAGTATTTCATCTATATTTAATTGTTGAAAAATGAAATAACTCGTGTATTTTCAATTACAGTTAATATCCAATCTTAATATTTAATTTCGACACTTTTTTAAGCTTTTCATATTTGTTTTATCTAAACCGCAATGAACTGTCGCTAGTTACTGTTAAACTAAATTATTGATATAAGTTAGCGCTAGATTTTGATTGGACTTCCCATATGTTCCCTTGCTACAAGTAACGAACGAACAATATATCATTCGTATTGTTTATTTCTACTTATTTATTTTTATTTTTCAGTCTACATAAACGCTTGATTTTATCGTTGGAATCGATTCGTGTATTTTTTTTTGTTTCAACTTCGAATACAAATTTAATCAAGATTTTTATTTGTGTTACTACACTGACGATTTAGTAGAATTAACTAGTACTTCAAGGTTACAATTAATGTATATATATATATATATAATTCAATCGATCTAACAAAATCAATGAAAAATACAGAAGAATAGCCATGATCATCATGGACACAAATAATAACATATGTTTATATGATTACTCTGCATGCCTATAAAAGGTTCACTCCCTGCTGGTTTAGTCTAACTGGAGTATTGTACTCATCAAGAATGCCTCTTTTTGTATACAAGATAAATAGTGAAGGTCAACACACTTTGTTTCTCCTTATATGTGATGACCTGATTTTTCTGGACACCGTTCAATTTAAGTGCTGCTATTCATTTGTTCGTATAGAGCGTGTCCGAGAGTGATATGTATATATATATATGTGTGTCATTCGTTCATTCATCTTATGACGTACACGAATAGAACGATGGGTTACACACAGATCGACATATGAATGCAATTGTATAGTAATGCAATTATTATAGTGTACTACATACGTGTGATTAATTCTATATTACTCATTAGTCCTATCGAACAGACCAAGAGAATATCAATTACATTTTCTTGTTTGTACAGCGAATTAATTCAAGTATTCACTCTTTCTTTTTCTATTTTAGATGCGGCGTCGTCGACGAACTTCTTTAGTTGCCTTCCAATTTGCATCCACTTAACCACCTACGTATTATTTATTGTTCACCTGTCTTCTTTTTCCGGTGGTGTGTGCGTGTGCGCACGTGTGCCAGTCAAACGATTCTTTTTTCAGTTACAACTTGATTTTATGTCCCATGCAACGACGCCTACCAAAGGCCCGTCAACAGTCGATTGTGAAGTTTTGACGGGTAAGTTTAATTGTTCGTAATTAACATTATCATAAAAACAAAAGATTGACGATCAACTTGAATTCACCCTCGAGATAAATTGACTTAGCCTATGATATATATCCTTAATCACATTCTCACGAGTAAATAAACTAGAAGTATCCTTTCTTTCTTTTATGTCGTTTTACGTAATAATATCATGTACGTATTGTCCGTATCGGTTACACAGAACAGGATACAAGGATATTATGCTCATTCTCTACGATATAATCTAAATTTGTAATCATTCATAAATGATATTTTCCTCGATTAGTGTGAAAAAATAAAAATTAGAAGATTGTTCATTTTTTTAAAAATATGACACATTTCGTTGTTTTCGTCGATTAGAAGACATAAAAATGTCATTATAACGTAGTTTTTCCTATACAATAAATCAATTATTTTATGACTTATCGTGTGAATTTTCTGAAAAAACGAAAGATTGAAGTATACGAAATAACAAACGGTGAATTAAAAAACATCGAACAAAGATCAATCATGTGTGAAGTTTAGCACTTCAAAAGAAATTCGAACAAATCGAAAATACGGTACAAATGAGTTCATTATTATTTTTCGTCTATGTGAATAGACGAGATGAGTCGATTGCATCTAGATGTGAATTCACATAAGATAATATCTGAATTGCTGTCTGCTTGCTCAGGTTCTTTTTTGCCTTTTTACACGTTGATTATTATCGTCTCAGGAGTTTATCCAAACTTTCACTAAATATGTTTGAGAATGACGTCAAGGAAATAGTTGATTTTCTGGATGCATACATTTATTGTGTTATTAGGTAGGGACTTTTTTTCTTCATACTTCGTTTATGTCGAGGGGTATGACATTAGAATGAATACTGTATTGAGCTATTTCTGTTTTGTTTTTGGATCGTTGATGATAATAATCTGATATTTAGACATTCATACACAATCAAATCTGGCCGAAGTTGAAGTAGTCAGTTTAATACACGAATTAATCCCGCGTTATCGTCTACGTGCTGATACTGATTTTGCTTGCTCAAACGAAGATTTTATTCAAACACCGCATATCAACGATTCCGAATTCGAAGGTCTAACTAATACACAAATTCGTGGTCTTCTTAATTATTACGGTAAACACCGATTGATTTTTCTTCTTCTGACGCTTCATTTTACATTTGAAAACACAATTATGATTTATAATTTTGATATACACAGTTTGCAGCCTGTTGGTGCACTCGTTTTCTTTTTTCTTTTTCTTCCACTGGTAATGACGTAAACACGATAAATATGAAGAAGTGACAGGTAGTAACTTACAAGAAAAATGTAATTAGCGAGGTGTAATCGATCTGAGGGTTAAGTTGAGTAACTTGATCAAAAGAAATTAATCAACGGCATATCTCGTGCTTCATATTTTGTTTTGGTTCTTTATGTTTGTTAGTTCACCATATAATAATGTGTGCCGCAAGAAAGAATAGTTCCGGTAGATACTTTTTGTTTTTACAATAGAAAGAAAAAGAAATGATATTTTTGCGCACAAAATTTCCTATTAATAGAAAAATCAGAAGGTAGACGAGATAATAGCCATAACGACATGAAACAAAACATGATACACTAAACTAACATCTACAAAAATAAATAGTAAACACAGAATGATAATATTGCCTACTCGTCGATGTCGCTCAAAATGTGATGATAGATTGAATTACTGCACTGTATTTTATGCGGTGCAGTATAGTTATCGTAGGGCATCTTTTAGAAGTGCTATGATGTAATACGACGATTATTGATTAATTTCATCTGACATAGATCAATTAGCGAGACTACGTGTTTGTCAATCTATTCCATATCTCGATTGTTTTCCAATCTGTTTATCAGATATTTCTACATTAATTAAGTGCGAGTATAGAAGAAGAAAAGTAGAATTGATAAAACATTTCTCAATATGTCGTGAAGAAAGTAAGTAAAGTAAGAAAACGTTGTTTTCTTCGTTGCAACTGTAGGGTTGCAATTGAAATTCACTAAGTGTTCAATACTTTTTTCTTTCTTTCTTTCTTTCGATGGCGAGTGACTTTTGAGACTTGAAATAATTAACTAAAAATCTGTAGACGAACAGTGCTACTTCAAACCTCTTTCTTTTTTGCTGAGAATTTCGTCTCACCTCACATTTCAATCATGGCCTTCCTGAACGTTGTTTGCTTATTTTTTTTTCGCTTCTAGTCATTTGGTTTTTTTTTGCATACAATGCTTAAAAATGGTAATTTTTGATTTTGTGTCTATAGATCGTTTAGTTATTCTGTGTTGTACTTAAAAGAGTTCATCCATTTGAAGTTTATTCTTGTTTAAATTTAATTTTCAGAGTCATCCAGTCAACGTATCAGCCAAATGACAAAAACATATCATGATATAAGCGCTGTTACTCGCATGTTAGAAGATCGCGAGAATGATTTACAAATGGCTGTTACTATAGGCCATACATTACTTGAAAGTAATAATTCATTACGTAGCCAAGTTAATTTACTCGAGCAAGATATTGAACAAACAACAGAAATTGTTAAACAACTCAAACATGATTTGATTCTTAAAGAACGTCTTATTCGATTTTATAGTGACATGGAAGAAAACGATCCACAATCCGAAGGAGCAAAGTAATTTAAATGGAAAATATCGATTTTTTTTATGCAGCTTTTTTGTCGTTTCTAGTAATCTTGACGTTCGACATTATGAACAAAAAATTCGAAATCTTGAATCTGAAAATCAAGAATTACGTAGTGAAGTATGTTGCAAGTTTTATCTGAAAGAATTTGTTTTTGGAGAAAATTATTTAATTTAGACTGTGAAATTAAAAATTGATGCCGAAAATTATGAACAACAGGAACAATTGATAGTTGATAATTTTGTAAATGCTTTAGGTAAACAGAAAATTTTTCATTAAGATAAACAAAAGACTTAACTTTTGATTTTTCAGCGAATGCAAATGCAGAAATCGATAATTTACAACAAGAATTAATAAAGAAATCCGATGAAAATAACAAACAACAAGATGAGATTTTTCATTTATCTTTCGAGGTAAAAATCGTCGGAGTTTTCATTTTGAAATCGTAACTTTTCAATTTAGATGCGAGAAATTCATCGTCGATTGTGTGAATTAAAGAAAGAAAACGAAGAATTAAAACATCTTCTATCAATCGACGGAAAAAATCGCCAAGAATATGAAGCTAAAGTAAACATTTAAAAAATTTTCCTATTTTATTTATAATATTTTTTCAATTAGATTCAATATCTAGAAAAGAATTACAGTGAATGTCTTGAAAAACTTCATAAATCTCAACTTGAAGTTAATGCAATACAAGAAAAATTACGAAATCTATCGCCATCGCCGTCTCTATCAGATCTATCACCACATCCTCATACAGTATTTCTATCTCCTGTGGAATACGCTAATTTTATGGGCATTGAAAATTCACTTAAATCAGAATTAGAAGAAATTCTCGAAGATCCAAATCAATTATGTCCTCCAACAATAAATGCCGATGAACAGATAACTAAAATTAAAAAAATCTATCGTAGAAAAATCAGACGAGAACAAAGTGATACCGACGGAGAATCAACGATTAACGATTCGGCGTTCAGTGATACCGAAAGTCTTAGCAGGTATGTTATGGATGATTTGCGCAATTTATTTATGAAAGTTATCTACTTTGTTTTCCTGTTACTTATGAAATTAAAATAAAATAAAAAATTCACAAGAGAGAAACAAAGTAGATAACATTTTTGTGATGATGTTTGAGCATGCTTTAATTCATATCACCTGCTTAGTACTTCGTCTTGTCCTCATTGCCACCGATGCTCACCTATAACCGCATCTGATTCCAAGTATGATTGTGAATAATTTGTTTTTTTCCTGCTAACAAATAATTTCAATGAATAGATCATCATCGACGTATCAATTCGAACGTCGCACACCATCTGGAATTTCATCAAGACTGAGACTTGTCAAGCGTTTTGAAGGTAAGATATGATTATTTTTTTTATACGAGAAAAAATATCTACACTTCAATCTTCTTAGGATCCACTATGTTAAAACGTTGGCAACAATTAGCTGAACCAAGTCTTTCATCCTGTCTTCAGTCGATACCCGGTGTTTATACTCGTGCTGAAATTCTACATGAAGTTAAAGAAGACGATGAGGAATATTTATTCACAGAAGAAAATGATTCAGAATTAAAGTCAACTTCTTCGCAGTAAATTGATTATTTTCTATTGACCTTAAAGAGCAACAAAGAAAAACGAAATCTATCTTTTTAGAACAACCACATCTAATCAATTAAATTTTGTCGAATTGTTAACTCAACAAGGATTCATATCTCGAACAGTTGATTCATTCGCTCCAGATCCTGATATTACTGATGATCCGACAACATCTCCAGCATCACCAACACACGGCGTTCAAGTCGAAACTAATGCTCTTCTTCATCAAGTTATGCAACGTTTAGTTGGAATGTCGATTCGTACATTTGAAACTCTCACAACAACACTTGCATCAACAAGTGATAATGAAACCGGCGATGAAGATGACGAAATCAAAAGTAATCTATCCGAACAACGATTTTGTACAAGAACTCCAGTAAAACCTCCACTATCGCCCACATTCGATGGTCTTGCGGCGCCAACACCAAATACGGCAATGCGTGCAATTAAATCAAGTACATTTCTACATGTTTCATCATTGAATCCATTAACAAAAGCGTATGCTATACGTTTACGTGGCGAAGTACCATCGATTGTTAGTGATTTTCTTCGAAGTAATCCTACCGTGAACACCAAATGAGAAGAAAATTAATTTCTTTTATATTTATATATATATATATATATACATATTCACAAATACAAATATCTTCTTGTGTAGATCATTAAACGCTTCCAAAAATACCTGTTCGTGTTTATTTTATTTTTTGATGAAACTGTATATTTCTTTGACAAATGATCTGACTGCTTCCTGTACGATAGTTAGGCCATGTTTATATATTTGTACTGTGGGTTTTCTCAACCAATCTTTCATGCAAAGTCACGGTTTCTGTTTTTTCCTTTCTTTCGATTTCGAAGTTTTTTACAAAACAAAAAACAAAACAATTTCGTCTATGTACGCTTTGTGTATGCGTGCCGTTTCATTTATTTCTTTTCTTTTGATAAATACAAACAAAGAGATGTTCAAAAAAAAATGTCTACTTTGATTTAGATGTCGAAAAATACAAAGCGACAGAAAAAATTGGAGGATATGATGGGCAGTAGTTCGACAAAAAAACGAAAAGAAAATAATGATCATGCTTCAACTGTCAGTAAGCAGATTGTTGTAGATACTTCAAGTAAGTTATTCTACAGATTAGAATAGCAAAGCTGATAGAATTGATCTAAACATTTTTGTAGCAACGAGTACAACAGTGAAAAAGATCTCTGAGGATGATTTAGAAGTACTTAAACAATTCGATCTCGATATGACATTTGGACCTTGTACAGGTAAATTGTTGTTTTTTGAAAGAATGTATTATATCTCGTTGATAGGCATTCCACGCATTGATCGTTATGAACGTGCTCTACGTCATGATGTAAATCCTCCTATTCGAGTTTTGGAATTGATTGATCTCTATCCGAACGATCGTCAAGTTACTCATTGGTAAATTGGATTTTGGTTTCGACTCATGAAATATATTTAATTACTCTTCTGTTTTCTTTTAGTATTTGGCGTGATTATACATTATGAAGATATATTTCGATATTTGCCTGCTTTTCTTTTATAATCGTTTTGATTTTGTTGTAAAATTTAAATATTTTCTTTTAAAAGTTTTTATACAATAATTATAAATAAAATGAATGTTTTAGATTATACTATCAATGCGTTCTTATTCATGGTTTCGTCTTTTTTTACTTTCACGACATAGACATCAGGTATACGAAACGAGCGAGTACCTATTGTCGAAATTTCAGATAGATACCTGCTCTATTTATGAAAACATTCATTTGACTTCTTTTTATCTAGCTATGCCGTTTTATTCCATTGTTCAGTAAGCGTAATGCGCTCCTCACTGGAATTCAGCGTCGTATTCCTCGTCCAACACTCGTAGCTTTACCATTATGGCTTGTTGTTCAAGCAGCAACACAAGTTGAAGATGCTAAGGAATCAAATCGACACGACAGTTTGTTTTTCTTATTTCTATTCGTTTTAAAAATCAAGACATGTTCTCTTTATCTAGATGTTGCAAGCATTGTCGAACAATTGGATACAATGTTTGATAAAGAAGAATTTCAGCAAGCATATGAATATATAGAAAAAAATAAAACCAATGAACTATTTCAAAGTCATTATATTCGATGGCGTATAGCTCGGTATATATGATGATCACTGAAGGATAGTTAAATTAAACATTATTTGTTTTTATTTTATTTTATTAGAATTTTTTATAAACTTTCATTAATAACAAAAGATAAACAATTGAAAAGAAAATTAGTCGAAGAAGGTTTCGACCAAGTAAAACTAGCAGTACAGCCTGGAAATCATATTTATTCAGTACATAAATGGTATGGAATTTTACTCAATGAAAAATGTCAATATACAAGTACAGACGAACAAATTCGTAGTGCCTATGAAGTACTCGATCATTTCGAAGAAGCTGTTCGATTGAATCCACAAGATCCAACTTCTTATTATCTACTAGGTTCATGGTGAGCTTGAATTTGTTTTTCTTCTTCTTCTTCTTCTGCTTTGTCTCTATATATTTTTCTTCCTGTGTAAAGGTATTGGGAAATCGCTAAACTATCCGGTTGGAAACGACGTTTAGCAAAATTAATCTACGGTGAATTACCTCAAGGAACAGTTCATGATGCATTAAAAAAATTTCTATTAGCTGAAGAAATTTCACCGAATTTCTATAGTAAAAATTTACTAATGATTATTAAATGTTATGTAGAACTTAATTCACGTCCTGCTGCAATGGAATTTGCTAAATTATTATTGGATCGTGAAAGGCAAACTCAAGAAGATGAAGAAGTCCACCAAGAACTACTAAAAATGATTCCTCAAATTGAGCGTCTTTTACCATTTCCACAACAATCAGGTTTCAGTAAAAATGTTTGAATATTGAGAATACTTTGTTGCTATGAAACATCCTTTCTTTTTCTTTTTTCTGACAACTAACGACATCTGAGCAAATATTCTATTGATTATTGTAATTTTTAACTGTTGATCATCGTGAAAGCAAGCAACGCACGGTTGCTAGCTAACTAATACTGCTTTGTTTTTTAGATGTTATCTAGTGTATATTTCCGTCAGGCTAGCCACCGTTTTATCATTATTTCGACTCGAGCGACTCTATCTACATCATCTTATTCAAAACCTACGGAAATACCAACAACACTACAAAATCAAACAAATAAACTTGATGTTGATCATAGAAAATCTATTTCTCCTAATGATATTTTAGAAGCTAAACGATTAGAAAGAAATCCTACTAATGCTAACTTCTCTCAAGATATAAAAGTATCAAGTACATTTGTTCTACCTGGCATACAGGTTACTGGTAATGCACCACCCTTAGCAAGTGAAACACAACATACAACAAAAGAAGAAGACAATCAACAACAACAACAACAACATGAAACAATACCATCAACACGTTTTTCTGCTTTTCTACGTAGTATTCGTTCAGGTTTACCATTTTTTCCATCGAAGAAAAATAAAGGATCTTCAATGGATATTGCGACAACACGTGAACATTTTATTCCGGTGCGTAAAATTCTCATAGGGAGACGAATTTTATTTCAGATCTTGTGAGATAAATATTTATAAATTTCTAGTTGACACGTCCTTCTTTAATACGTTTAATATCCAGTGACAACCAATTACTAGCCAATGATGAAGATCGTCTTTTATTTCATCAACTATGTGAAGGTTTCGATAGTGCTGTTGTACAACGATATCATCCAATATTAACTGAATTAAAAAATTTATTCAGTCCACTGAATCCTGATAACGAAACACCTGATCATCATCATGTATCAGAACGAGATCGTTTAGATAATGAATATTGGTTATTACAAAAAATCAATGATTTACTTCAACGATCAAATTTTACTGAATTACCAAGAAGTATTCTTTTAGAAAAATTTATTATACAAAAAAATGCATCTTCATCCAATGTCAATGTGAAAATCAATGGTTACGATTATGAAGTACTAAAATTTTGGATACTTGGCCGTGAACAAATTCCAAGTGAACAACTTTCACTATGGAAAAGATTATTTCGAAAGTCAACTTCAGTGACATCAAGTGATTATTTTAAACGTATTATTTTAGCTGTACGCCTCAAAGGACAAGATCGTTTATATCTGAAAGCTTTTCGTGATATACCATTACAAAGTCTTCCACAATTATTACCTATTGGTAAATTACAAATAGGTCAATATGAACAACGGCTTATTTGGTCGACGTTTTTTATTGGTACAAGTACGGCGGTTACACATTTAATTACAACAATGGCTGATTTTCATGTGCCGGGTTTAGTTGTGGGCGGTAGCAGTTTAACATTATTACTTGCATTGTGGTCATTAAGAAGTTCTCATCGATCAAAAATAAATTATCTATCAAGCATGAATCGATTATTGTTTTATAAAAATATTGCGTCAAATAAACAATTATTAGCAATGATTATTGATCGAGCAGAAGATGAATTGAGTAAAGATATGTATGTTATACTGATTAGACTTCTTTTTCCTCTGACTAATGAGACACTAACAATAGATGAGGATTAGCCTTCTAATATAATTCTATTTTCTAGTCTAATTGCTTATATGATCATCTTATGGCGACAAAAACAAAATGCTAATTTAACGCCAAAAATTCTTGAATTAGAAATCGAAAATTGGATTCGTATGAAAACAAATACAAATGTCAACTTTAAATGCGATCAATCTATTGAATTTCTTCGTAAATTAGGTAATAAAATTTTTATTGAAAAGAAAGTTCTTTTGAAAAACAAGATTTTTTCATTGAAGGCATTGTTCTACCTAACGATCCGTCACAGCCCGATCGTTTACAAGTAATTCCATTGAAACAAGTTGTTGGTATACTACCGAAAATATCGCGAACATTAAGTGAGAAAAATGAAGAATGGGATTTAATTGAAGGATACGATAAAAAATATTTTGAACTCGATTGGAAAACAGTTCTTAATGAAGACAAACTTCTTCGAAAAGGTGGATGGCATTAACGAATTTTAATAGTCAGTTGGAAAAATAAAGCTAGATTAGTGTGCAATTTGTGCCTTGCCATCGTTTTTTCTGTCACTATTTCGACTTCTGTTTTTTTTTCTTTCATCTAACATTTATTTTGGTCTGCGCGCGTGTGTATAGAAATTTTCGCTGAAGCAGTGAAATAGATTATTATTCTTGGAACCGAGTATTATTTCTAGTTGTAGATAATTAAATCTATCGATCATGTCTTCAGTGGTTGGTAGCGATACAGTTGTTGCCGAGAAAGCAGGAGCTGGTTCAGCAAAGCAAGGTAAACTAATAGACGTTATGTCTAAGCTCGACATTTGATGATTCTTGTTTTTCTCTTTTGAAGGACTTGGTTCTCGAGCAACATCAAAAGTAACATTCCGTGAAGGAGACGGAAAGCAAAAGCCACATTCATCAGCTCATCCGACTGAAGGCGAACGTCATTCGCCAAGTTCAGGAGCAGGTCTTCAATTTCAACATCAACAACTTGGTGACTTAAAAAAGAAAGATGATATCAATCCATTTAAATTTTCACCCGATGTCGATTTTTGTGCGTTAAGTCAACTTGATAAACGTGAAAAAGCACAAGTAATTTTATTTAAAAAAAAAAGCCAATTCTTATTGTATCACACGAAAAAACAATCTTGATATTTTAATTAAAAGGAACGTGAACGTATGCAAAATCTTAAAGTACATGACAAACTATCGAAAGCTCAACGTCTTATGAAAGGACGACGCTTCCGTGTTTTGAAAGAAATCGACGAAGAAGTTGAAAACGAAGTAAATTATTCACTCGTATTTCTTTTCCCACAAAGAATTGAAAGTGTAAGTTTTTATTTTTTATAGCGTTCTCAAAATAAAGAAAATCGTGTTGCATCCATGCGTGATAATGCACCATGGCTCGTTGCGATCACTCGTAATCGCCGAGTTGAAAATGAAAGTTTACAAGAATTTATTGGAAAAAAACGTAATATGTTTGTCTTACAAGTAACTTAGATTCGTTCGTTATTTAATAATCTTTTCTATATTATGTTTTTGTTTGTTTTTACTTCAAGTATGAATTAACAGTTAAACGTACTGAAATGCGTAAACTTGAAGAAATAACTGCTGCAGAAGAACAACGAATTGAAAAAGCAGAAAAAGATTTAGAAGAAGATGCTGTAAGATTTTATTTATAACTAATATCATGGTTTTTGTTTTTACAATTCTAATTTTCTAGCATATGTTCGATCAATTCTTAGCAGCAAACAATAAAAATGCAAATGAAGCAGCTCGTTTGTAAGAAAATTCTATTTGAAAAATGAAAACTTATTTATTTATTTTTCTTTAAATTAGAGCTGATGAAGAAGCCCGTAAAAAATTAGATAAAGTTACGGAAATCAAACGTTTACATGGACAGATAACTGCATTAAAAAGTGAACTTGTTCGACGTGAGGATGAATTGAACGAATTAAAACAATATAAACAATTTCTTGATCAAATTACACCAATAGTAATTGCTTAGAGATTTTTTCTCTCTATATAAATTGTTTTTCGCATTTTAGGAATGGAAAGAAGAACGTCGTAAAAAGCTCGATCTCGAACGTCTTTCACGTCAAAAACTTGAGACACAATCTGTATCATCTGATGATCCAACAAGTAAATCCGGCAGTCGTCCACAAAGTCGTGTAGTCGATGCAAAAGGTGGTAAACGTGGCCTTGGACTTATAGCTCAAAAAACTCTTGGCAATCGACGTCAGTCAACCACTTCATCGCATGATGTAGAATTAAGCACTAAACATGGAAGTGAAATGGACATGGCTAAAACTTCCTCGGAAATGAATTCGATTGATTTAGATAACGATTTTGAATTATTTTTTACAGATCCTCAACAATTATTGGCGATATTTACTGAACTTGAGGAACAAAATTTATCATTAATACAAAATAGTCAAGATCATGAGGAACAATTAGAAGAAATAACTCGAGAATTACAGATAACAATGGAAAAGAAAAATATTGAAACAGAATCTTTACAACGGCAAGTTAACCATTTAGAGCAAGCAATTGAATTAGAAGAACAAAAAGAAAAGGAATTGATGGCGAAAGTTGGGTAAGGATGTTTTTTTTGTAATAAAGATAAAAAAACTATATACCATATTTTCGTCACTTTTATTAGTGCTCATTCATTGGTTAATGATGACGGTAAACAAGATGAATATCTTACACAACTATCAGCAGTTATTAGTGATGTTTATAAGAAAATTTTCAATGAAAATCCTGTTACAAGTGATCCATTAAAAAATCTTGCATCTATTGAAAATCGTCTTGAAGAATTATTTCAAGAAATTGATCTTATGGATCCACAACGTTTACAAGAAGCTGAAAAAGGCAAAGAAAAAGAACGACGTATTCGTTTACGTGAACAGAAGAAACTCGAAGAAGAACGAGCTACCGAAGAGAAGAAACGTAAAGCTGCACTACGAGCTAAAGAACCACCTAAGAAACATGTTGGCCGTCCAATAGCTGAACGATCAAGACCACCAGAATTGAAAAAAGCCGATCAAGATACAATCAACAAAACAAACGAAGAAGAAGAGGAACTTGCTTATTATTTTACTTGAACATATATACGTATATATCTCATTTACAGTGATGCTTCTTTTTATTTCTCCGTCCATTTTTATATTAATTTTTTTTCCTGTTCGAATGAGTTTTGAATATAATAAATATTCATTTGCTTTAGTATATATATATATTTTTTTTGTTTGAAACTTTCTATTGCTGCAATCAAAGCGCGAAGGTATATGACCACAGTTATGGGTGTGGATGTGAATGTCGCTGAAAGAAGAGCCATACTCACAACCAAACCCTTATTCATCAGCATATCAATCAAATTTATATAAATATTCTAGTCTCATCATTAAAAAGTGAACTAAATAAGAAATTCTTAACTGTAGACAATTCGTAAGATATATCCTCATTTCTGATATGACTTATTTCTCTTAGTTTTGCTCGAATTCGAATAAAAGTTATGCAATCCGGTTTGGCGATAATTTCAAACTGTTCAATTAGAATGATTGATTACATACATTAAAAGTCGTAAGACTCCTTTGTTGTATTTTTATTTATTTGAAATAAAATTTTTGGAATGTATTTGTGTCTGAATTCAGACAGGTAAAAATGAATATGAGCGGATTTGAACTAAGAAAAAGGAAGAGAAGAAAAGTGATATGATATATTTCAATACAGATATCATATAAATTAGAGCTTGAACTTTAAAATTTTGTCACATTTCATAGAAAGTCACGTAGGATATCTTTTGGTCAAATTCGTGTATCTTTTGGAAGGATTCGCCCAAGACAACTTTCCAGAGGTTCGAAACCATTTTCCAAGTAGAGAAAAAACTTCTCTACCGAACACAATACTTCAGGTCCCTTCAGGAAATTCCTAAGTCTGACTAAATTGCAAAATACCGCAAAAAAAGGGTTGCCGTCTTATAATGGTATCAATATAATCATATTTTATTGGTTTCGTCAATATTGCGCTATCCAGCCATACGAGACGAAAGTTTTGAATGATGCCTTTTTTCCCCCATTGATCTACATTGTGTATTGAATGTGAAACATATTTTCGAGAGTAAATGTTGTTTGAGAAATAACAGGATAGATAAAGTCTATTTTATATTTTATTTTTCGTCTTGAACTAATGTGTCTCTATATCTACTTTATATCTATTGTGTTATTGGCGAAAATTTGCTTCTTATTACAACATACCTTTTGATATAGTTTATGTTTCGTTTATTTATATTTTATTGTCAACGAAGTGAATATTTCCAACTGATTGATACAAGGGGGAAAAGTCGGATCCTGTTGCTCCTAATAAAGAGCATTAGATTGCACAATAGATTGACTAGAGTGTACGGAAATTTATGAGAAGCTACTTCAATCTACTAAATGCGTCGGAGTCTACCACAATGCACCAAAAACTGATTCGCTTTACAGCAATCTTCAAACAGCGTAAAAAAACATGGATCCTGGTGGATTAGGGGTGTGCAGCTCACGGTCATGAGTGCTGACAAACGTGAGCGTTTCTTCTCCAAATAGAATATGCAAGAAATCAGTAATAATGAATTCACTTTAGCTATATTCATATAAAAATACATTATAGTATTTCATACAGTTTCTTATCTAATATATTCAATCGATTTATCTAAATACTTATTACTCGATGAATTGACAATAAGCGCTAAAATAGGCTCATTAGAGTTTGGAAAATCATAGTTTTCGAATATTTGTTTCTTAAACTTGCTCATCTTACTACCGCAAACTACCAAGGAACAAAGCTAGGATCTTATTATTATTATTATATATGTCTAGTAGGGGTAGCACATTACTATCACCGGTAATAAGTAATAACTGTTATTTCGAATTAATAGTACTAACTAAAAGTCAGGAAAATGAATAAAGTAATAAGGAAGAAATAAAGCAATAAAGAGCTTGACCGTGAAATTACTTCTATTTATCGATATATTTCTACTTTCTCACCACTCCCTAGTCTCAAGCCTGTTCATTCCTTGATAAACCCTGGAAGGATCTTTCGGGATCCTGAATCTCCAGGATCTTGTCAAGTTTTATTCAGGATCCTGTTTCAAATCCTAGTATTTCTTGTTTCCAGGATTTTTCAACGTGAAACAAGACCCTAGTCAGGATTTCTTCGGGTTCCTACTCGGATATTTTTCTTAACTGAGAATGGAGGATCCTATCAGGATTTACTCAAGAACCTATAAAGGATCCTCTCAAGTTTTTGAGAAAGGATTCTGTCAAGATTTTATCAGGTTCTCTTCAGGACCTAGTCAAATCTTTGTATCAGGATCCTGTTAGGATTGATAGCCACATCATTCAAGGATCTTGACAAGAAAATAACAGGAACAATCAAAATGCAAAACTGACTAATCCTGGAAAGCTTCAATCAGGATCTTGTTCAGATGTTTTCAAGAATATGCGTTTCCAAACCTTGCAACATAATATCAATCTTAATCAAAATCTTGATAGGAAAATGTAAGGATTTAGGAAAGATCTTTACAGGTTACTGCTTAGTCCACTCAGCCATGCCCATTTCTTGGGATAGACTTGAAGGATCCTTCTGAATCATGAATCTCAAGGATCCAGTCAGGTTTGATTCAGGATTCCATCCAGAATTTGTTCAGATTATTGTTCGGATTTTTTTCTGAATTGAGTTTACAGGATCCTCGTAAGATACACTGGTAATCCTATTCAGGAACCTCACAAAAATTGTAAAGAGAATCTCGTCAAGATTTTATTATGTTTAAGTAAAGATCCGTGCTGGATTTTGATAGAAGGATCCTGCGAAGAGTTAGAATTATATCAGAGGAGAATTATACCAAGAATAGAACATGATTATTCAGAATACTCAACTAAGAAATCCTGACAAACTTTGACCAGGTTCCTGAGAGAAACTGCCCAGGATCAGATATTTCGAATGCTTAAAAAAGGTACAAGTATGGCCAGGATCTTGATAAGAAAATACGAAGAGCCAGTTAAGATCTTTCCAGGTTTGTGTCTATAGCCTATTTCAAATTTAATTTTCAGGTTCCTATCAGGAACCTAGCAAGAATGAGTGAAACGGTTTCGTCTCGTTTTTAGCTTGGTTAAGATCATGATCCTTTCAAGATTTGGAAATCTATAGATCATAATAGAATTTCAATAAAAATGTTGAGCAAGATCTTAACAAAAATTAATTGAAGGATTCTTCGATATGCCATGGTTTTTTTTGTTCAAAACACAACATAATTCTGACAACTGAAGAATTTACTGGTATTTTTATCCTCATTTTGACCTGGATCTTTTTGTAAACAAAAAGAACGATTCTTAGTAATCTTGGAAAAAAAATATTCTAAATCTCTTTCAAGTTTGTATAAAAGTTGCTTTGAGATTCTAACTATAGCAAGGAGTTAGTTTTTAATCCTATCAGGAAAAGAACATTGAAAATCATTAAATTAGGATGTTAATTGGAATTTACACATCGGAAAATGTTTTCGTTAAATATTTAATTTTAATTTTAGTCAACAGCAAATTTTTCGAGAAAACTGCTTATAGTTTTGATTATGTTCGAAAAACAAATTTATAAATGTATGTTTTCAATCGAATTAAATTTTTTAAAAGCTCCAGGTACATCTTTAAATATAACTGAAATAAAAAATTCTCAATATATTCTTAAATAGAATTGAAATTTTAAATAAATGCGGAAACATCGGATTTACATCCGATTGTTATGTGTACTTCAAAAAGCGAAAATGTACATCCATTTTTTTCTATAAGGCATAGATCTCATCAAGATACATCCCTTCTCACTAAATTACAAGGAGAAAATACAGGCATGCTAAGTTAGCATGGGCCACACTGTATGCAACTCTATCCAGTGATCACTGACTCTACTCTCAGCGTGATATAATATCTTTAGAGATCACAGAAATTGAGCTCAGATTCGTGTTCAGCCTCGAAAACTGGATAAGAACAGTTATTTTTGAATGGTTTTGTGTTTGTATCTAGCAGCATTACGATCTTAAGCAACCTCATGAATTTATAAGAGATATATGATAGATACAGGCATCAGTATTTTCATAATAAAACCATCAATAGTAATAGCTATCGAGTTCGGGTTTTTACCTTTCGATAGTCTTTTTGACTAGCTACAAAACCAGGCATTTGAGAAACCCCCAAACTACTGGTCATCTGAAACATATCTAGGCAATTTGGTTTCTAGATGCAGTTTTTGTGTATTTTGAGACCTTTTTCAGTCAATGTTTCGTTAAAGAACTACGATTTTTTTCAAAACTAATATCAGATTCAAAATCAGCGTTAAAAACTGAGTCGATTTATATATGTTGTGGATAATTGTGAGGAAAAAACGTTTTTTTGAAAAATCCCTGTACTCCCCCTCAGGGATGGTCTAGTCAATAATGACAATTTTTTCGATAACTCAACCATTTCTTGACGGATCCTTCTTATCTTCGAACTCGACTGAGACATTGATAAGGCTGAACTGTGTAGAAAATTTCCTCATGATCCAACTCTCCTTTCGAAAGTTATCGTGTAAACGGACAGGTGGATGGACGGACGGACACACTGACCGATTCCAGAGTGTACTCACTTTTTGAGTACACAAAAAATAGTAAATTTCACCGACGAAAATAGACGTGTAAAATGATATTGTATTTTCAGAATTTTTTTGAAATAATTTCTATCTATATAAAATTCAAATATAAGTTTACATAAGTCAGAAATTACTATGTTAAACGCTGAAGTGATATAAAATGACATTTCACATCCAGCTCGGTAACCTGATCGGTATGTAAACTGAAAGCCTAGAGGTCGATACTCTATGTGTTCATTTCTCTTATATTCTATTTAGAAAATCCTGCAAAGATCCTTCAAGAAACTGATAACATGCGCAATGAAATCCAGTTAAATCCTACGATGATCTTGTCAAGAAATTTGATAATATCTTCGAGAAGACCCAGCCAAATCTTGAAAGATACAATCAGAAATCCTTTTTTCCAATTCTGAATTATTGAAATCCTGAAAGGATCCCACACTTTCGTGGCTACACATTTCTTTATGGAATCATCAATTTCCTGGCACAATCTTGATTTAAAAAACAATGGTGAACTCCACTGCAAAAAAAACGGCAGAATAATGAACGCTTGCCCTTGATTTTGTTTTCCTAAAAACCCTTGAAGGGTTTATGCGCATGCCATATACCCTATGAAGGGTATATGAGCCGAAGGGTTTGTTATCGCAAGGGTATATGAATTTAAAAAGGGTACATGAAACGGCTTTAAGGGTTTTGTATTTCATGATTTTATTCAAAGTGTTTATTAATAAACGGATAGGTGTAGATTAATATACGTATTTCCAAAATCAGTTTATTATACAACAATCAGGGGTAGATTGAGAGTGTGAGCGTGGGTGTCGGTGTGCCTTAAAGCATCGACTAATTCGAAAATAAAATAATAAAAGAGCTTGTGCTATAATTTAAAATAAATGCAGTTTAAGTTCGCCAACGTATTTCGTGTTATTTTATTGAAATAATAAACAATCATCAAGGTTCTGCATTCGATAATATAAGCGCAAAACAAGAGTGAGCAATCGGCAAGTAAATAATTTTCGAGTTTAATAACAACAGTGGAAAAGCGTTCTTGAGACTAGTCTAGTTTGTGTTGACATTAAAAAGAAATATTTTGAAAAACTTATGCGATACTCAAGCACTTCTTGATAGTAAAGAATATTGTCTTTCATACTATGTGAATAAATATTCCATTATCATCTTGATTGACTTCAATATTTCAATTACATGTAATATTCCAATTGCCTGTAGCCGCAGAATCGAGGTGAATATAATTCAAATCAATTATAATTTCAATCGGGTCGAGTAATTTGAATAGTTTGTATCGACATTTACAGGGAGCATATTTTAGGAGACTTCTTCAGATGAATTAAACTTTTTGAACGTTCCTTTTAAACGCCTACAACTTCAACAAGTTTCTTTGGTAGGGCCAAAATAGGCGTGGTAGATGTCTTTTCTTTTTAAATTAGTTTTGGGTGTGGATGTAACTTCATTGCAAGACATCAGCAGTGCCACACACACCACACTGTAAAAAAAGGATTTATGAAAGTGCAACGTGTCACATACCCTTTTTTTTCTGTTCTTGAAAAATCTAATAAACCCTTTTTCTAAATCATAAACCAAAAACCGTTTACTATGTTCGTCATATACGGAAAAAAGGGTTTATGATACGTTCCACTTTGATAAACCCTTTTTTTTATTAAATACCCTATCAAAAACGTTTTTCCGTGAATTATTCTGCGATTTTTTTACAGTGCACCCACACTACACCCACCGATCCACACCCACCACCCATACCACACTCACATCTTATTGGATTACTGTGAGATATGCAATTTTAATTGATTAATTGTACTAGTTTTGACTTTGTTCTTCATGTTGGATATACATTTATATATCCATAAGATATTTTCAAATATGCAGGTGAGTCTTGATTCAAGACTCTTTAATGATAGAGCTAATAATATTATATAGTATTTGATTGTTTAAATGTCTGATGATGATGATGATCGTCTGTGAAACGATCGAAAGGCTTTGTATAATGCGGCAAATCTTTCTGTTATAAGCTAAGCCATACCTCAGAATAGTTAAATTGAGAAAGGATTTTTCTCATTTTATCTGTGGCCAGACTTGAAATAAAAAGAATTCTTTCCTAGGAAGCAGATTAATAGGATGTAGAAATTGTGTGCTTGAAATCAACAAGTTTCCATGCTAAAAAATAACTGTTATGAACTTTGAAAAACAAAAAAAAAACAGTTTCGATCATCGTTTGTTTTTCTCAAATGTCGAACAATGACGAATGAGTCATGAACGCTTTTCTGAAATTATTTACTCAAAATCAAGCATACACTAAATAGGAAAATGAATACATGAAAGCTTGATTTATCCAATAGATTTCAGTTAATATGACGAACATATTCTCAAAATCTGCGGCATGAAAACCAGGTACAGCGACAATCTCTACTACTAGAATATCTTTCACATTGACTGGACAGTATACATCCTCCCCCACACGTGCCACGAACAGGTACTCTGGATGCATTCGGTATCCAAGGAGTATCGAAGGATTTACTAACGATTCGATTCGTTTTTCTCCATATTATCTGTATCCATCCCCTTTGTGTTGGATTCAATGACGCGATGAAATCCTCTACGTCTTTGCCAGCCACGTCGTTTTGATCCTGTTCTCCGGCAGTTCCGATTGCCTTGTTAACGATTGTATCATATAATTCATTTCGAATTTGAGTCCACCGGGTCTGCTGTTCTGGTTCCAATGAATTCACAAAATTTTCTTCTCCTTCGAAAATATCTTGCACCGCCTGTTGATCAACAATTGGCGATGTTGAAACACAGATAAGAAATAGCACCGACGCAACTATTCCAGTTACTACGTGCATTGTCCTCTATTTCAATTTGGTAATCGAATGGAGAATGATATTCGTATGACAGGCACAAATATATGACCGAATATTTTATATATCGAGATCAATATTTTTTTCTGAGAATAAGCAAACATACATCTTAACCCACTCAGTGAAAGATTATATTAACGTTTCAAACTCTTCACAAATCTCACTTCTCAGACATGTTCTTAGAGCGACACGATATCGAATTTCTTCCATTCTGAATAGAGTGTCTGAAAGAATATTTGATAACCTTATCACCGATTTAGTCGAGTGCAGTGAATTAATGTTATCGCTCATTGGTTAAGACGAAAAGCGGATTTTAACAATAGTTAAAACAAACTGCTAAAAAGTCATTGGGAGATAGCATCAAAGCACAGTGTCAATCAACGTACTCGGCTAAGAATTCATCTAACGCCTTTTGTTTTTGTCAGAAACACAGGTTCATCCTTAGCAGAATGTATACATTGCGAATTTTTCCCAAATGGAATGTATTCATTATCAGGTATTAGGAAGAGTGGGGCGGAGCGCCAGCAGGCCTCACATTAGGGCATAGCAGCAGCTGTGATCGATACGTGTAATGCTTATGCAGCTACACTACCTACCAACACCCAAACCAACCCATCTGCACACGTACACGTCAAAGTTCAAGATATAAAGCTCTCTTAATTCATATCACTTGAGACTTCCATAACGATATCAAAGATCAATTGGAAATTCCATGGGAATCCAACAAGAATCCTCAGAATCACGGTAAATATTCTTTTCGCCGAAAGCCACTTCCACGAAATACAGATCGCAGAAATTCTGCGAACTGCATTTCGTTAAAGTGACACTTCCGTGATGTGATTATCGGCGAAGTGGCTTTTAGCGAAGTTACTGTCAGCGATGTGACTATCTGCGATGTTTAAATCGATGATCGAATTTATCAGTTAATCATTAAGTTAAGCAAGTGATTCAATAAAGTCCTAACTTGATGCTAAGTTAGCTTCTAACTTGGCTTCAACTTGATTCCTAATTTAACACCAAGTTTGTTTACTAGCTTGATGAAACTGACAACCAACTTGACGTAGCATCCATTGAAGTTAGTCACTAAGTTGTTTTAGTACTAACGCTTTTCTGATAGATTATCGGAAGCACTTCGGCGATCTGCATTTTGATGAACTTGATATTGACTATCTTTATTTCGGCGGTGTCCATATCGATGATCTTTCTGCTCAATAATCTTCATTTCGGCGCGAGTTTCGGCGATCAGACTGTTCTGTGATCTCAATTTCAGCGATGTTGTACCCAACCAGAATCACATGGGAATTCAGAGAATCTTGGGACAGTGTACCTGTGGGGTGTGAATGTGAATGTGAGTGTGGCTGTGCGTTTGGGCTTGTGGATAGATGTTTTGCTCCAGGAGAAGATCTACCCACACTCACACCCTCAAGAGTCTCTGGGAAAAGTTCATTGATACAAATGGTTTAAGAAAGGAATAACGACTCTTGAAACTCTTGAACAGATCGGACTGTGTCCTGGACTTAGTCGAGTATTAAATTGGTTGGTGAACTTGTATTTACAATTGTTACTCTATAGTTACGCATTTTCCAAAACAAAGGATACAACAGGATTTGAGGGTGGGTGGCTTGCTATGATCTGCACTCTACTTACAGCTCTCAGCCCAATCGGTGCTTTAATACTTCTTACACGGCTTGAAGTTAGTGTTGCAGGACTGACGATCATATTCGTGAGTGACACACTGCTCATTATGTCTATGATGCTGGCTTCGATCATGATATGGGAAATAAACAAGGAATCTACAAAACCACCAGAAAAAACTTCGAGCAAAATGGTGGCACGTGAATCTTGTGAAATGGTCGTTATTGGGGGTACAACTCAACATCAATCACCTCGAATCGACAAAGAGAGATGAGGGTGTGGATGTGAATCGGCGGGTGTGGTAAGGGTGGTGTGTGTGTGTGGCACTGCTGATGTCTTGCAATGAAGTTACATCCACACCCAAAACTAATTTAAAAAGAAAAGACATCTACCACGCCTATTTTGGCCCTACCAAAGAAACTTGTTGAAGTTGTAGGCGTTTAAAAGGAACGTTCAAAAAGTTTAATTCATCTGAAGAAGTCTCCTAAAATATGCTCCCTGTAAATGTCGATACAAACTATTCAAATTACTCGACCCGATTGAAATTATAATTGATTTGAATTATATTCACCTCGATTCTGCGGCTACAGGCAATTGGAATATTACATGTAATTGAAATATTGAAGTCAATCAAGATGATAATGGAATATTTATTCACATAGTATGAAAGACAATATTCTTTACTATCAAGAAATGCTTGAGTATCGCATAAGTTTTTCAAAATATTTCTTTTTAATGTCAACACAAACTAGACTAGTCTCAAGAACGCTTTTCCACTGTTGTTATTAAACTCGAAAATTATTTACTTGCCGATTGCTCACTCTTGTTTTGCGCTTATATTATCGAATGCAGAACCTTGATGATTGTTTATTATTTCAATAAAATAACACGAAATACGTTGGCGAACTTAAACTGCATTTATTTTAAATTATAGCACAAGCTCTTTTATTATTTTATTTTCGAATTAGTCGATGCTTTAAAGCACACCCACACCCAGAACACACTAGAAAACATCAATAATCGCTATTGTTCTGTTAAGGCTTTTACGTATAATATGGCATGTTTTTTTTGGTCGAAATTTTAATTTTATTCGTAAAGTTTATTTTGAATTGGTCTGCGTATGCTCAAAATGCATATTTTACGCATGCACCCGGTGGTCGCTTGTCAAAGTACAGCTGACAAATGTCTCTTGGTACAGCTGGATCTTTACAACAATTTTCCCATGGTACTACATCATGGCGATGGTGTGCAGCCAATTGAGATAAATCGAAAAAGCTGTCCGGTGCTCGTTCGCGATCCAATGTGCCAGCACCTTGATGTGGATCCTTTATCCAAACACCATTTTTGTCATAACAACATTGAGCACCAGGTCCCGTGCTTTTATATGCAAAGCGATAGCATCCATGCGCACCTTTGTGATACTTACATGTATTTGGGTGCTGACTTGCTATACAGGCTGGATCTGTTTTCCATATTTTAGAGCCGTCATTAAATTCCTTTGGAAATTTTGCTGGTACGTGACAGGGACACTTTCGTGTTTGTTCCAAAAATATTGATGGATCTGGTTCGGCGCCATGCCACGTTTCACATAGCGCTATTTTTTTTGCTACATCGGTCGATCGAATATTTCCGTGAGGAAGAACATATCCTTTAAGACAGACAACTGTCATCGTCAGAAGAAGAAAAATCGCGAGCATGATATACGAATATTAACTCAGAAAGTGGGAATGTATTCTTCATTGTCGACGACATTTTATATAGAACTAAAAATGCACATTTTTTGGTAGTTAAAAGATTAAGTCGAGATTATGTACTTCAAAATTGTGGCTTATTTATTCGAACTGATTAGAATTACCGTACAATATTAGCATTGTAATTCGTCTCTATTTAACGATTATGGCATTGCTTTTAAACGTGTAAATTTACTTGATATAAACTGCCAGTTAGACTAGAAGGCGCATTATAATCTTCGTTTAGAGTTAGTGTGATCCATCACTAGCGCTAATTTGTTTTGCTGTTAAAGTTATTGATCTGCCTCTTTTAGTGCATCAGGCAATGTCTGAACTATGTTATGAACATCGGATTCCGAATAGTGCCTATGAAACTAGGTGGAGTGATAGCCGGTGGATTTTGAGGTAGTCTTTTTCATGCGGCAAAATATTATTAGTATTTTCTCAGTTAGGTTCGAGCACTCGATTTCTCAATTAGATCTTTCATACAATAGTATGGGTGCGGATGATAATTTGGGTGTGTATGGAATGGTAGTTGGTTTGGTATAGCTTCGTCTTGGTGTACATGTCAGCGTACATTTTCATATGAGTGGATGAAATTGAGTTAGTAGATGTGCGTATTCATGCGGTTTTTTTTTGGGACTTGGTGTCAATATTGTTATCGTTAAACTCGTGATTGAAATCGCCTACAAGGACATCAACAGTCTTCTCGGATTTGATCATACCAAAAGTACAGTCATCTCCATTTATTCTTTTATTTCCTGTCCTTCATTACATGTTCTCTCTTCGAGTATCCATGTCGATGCTGTTGTCGTATGGGTGTGGTTATAGATGAAGAATAGGCCCATACCGACAGTGTCCTTGAATGACATCCAGCAACATAAAACATACTGTAATGTGTCAGAAGAAACGCAAGATATCATTTCCTAAATTGCTTCTAGGATATTCCTAGATTTGCTTTTCTTTCTTTTTTAGTCGTTGTGATTTATTCTAGTTTTGGCGAATAATCTCGTTTCTGCTCAATTTTTGACACTCTTATGAAAGGCCTGAGAAAATGCAGAAAATCAGATTTATTTGCTGAGTCCAGTCTGCATTTGAAGACTTTGAAAATATCATAAAACTACGACGAACGCAAAGCGTGCATTCTTCAAAGTTTCTTTTTTCTTCATCGGCGATTTCTATCTAGAAATAGCTATTGAAATTGTATTCAGCAGTGATAACGTAATCGAATTGATAAAATCTCTGAGAAACATTTTCGTATGCAGATTCAGTGGTTTAAGTAATGGAAATGAATTTTAATCAGTAATGAAATTATGATTTCCTGTATGAGAAGTCAATCTTTTGCCATTCTTGGTTGTAATGTGAAATAATATGATATGTTTGATATTAAATAAACGCAATAACTATAAATCTGGTATATTATTTATCAAAGAAATCACGAATAAAGCATTGCATGTAATTTAAATAATATGAAATTTAAAAAAAGAGATAAACTACGTCATTTTTAATCAAAAAATTAGGTTTTGTTGCCCACGAAAAAATAAACCGTATGAAACAGCGTTTTAACGCAAACTTTTAGAAGAAAACACTGCTATATCGTTTTAGCGCATCGTTTTCTCTCTCTAACGCATTCAAACGTATGTTTTTGTGTATGTAACACGTCGAAATGCGTTCTTTTTTTTATTTACAATGATTCTTTTCAACTTAAAATACGACTTTAAAACATCGTTGAAAAGTATTTTATTTTGTACGCATTTATAGCCTTTAATTTGCTCTGCTTCTCAGTGAATTTCTTATCCACGAGTTTTTTCCTTAAAAAAAAACTTTTCTTGTAGACACTCGAGAATACATATTATAATTTATATTTTTAACTATACAATGTTTACATAAAAGCCTAGTGCTCTTTATTTCCGTCCTGATAACTGAAATATTTATACTTAATTGCTATTTAGAATTTTTTCCTGCTATATCGAAAATTAGATTATTGAAACAGCTGGAAGTAAAAACCACTGAAAAAATCACAATTAATATTGTGAAAATACTATGATTAAGCCATTTATATTTGAAAAAAATTGTTAGGCCCGAAAAAATGACTTCAAAAATGTTTTTTTAAACAATTAAATTTGTTTTTGTATAGAACGAGTTTAATTTATTTTAAAAGTCACTTCTCGAAATTTAAATTTACTTTGCGTTTAGAATGCATAGAATTAAAAATATATCCTTCAATTCAATATATATATATAGACATTGCATTTCTATTCTGATATCAGTAAGTCTAACTCAATATTATCAGGTAAATGAAATCGAAAGTTCCTAGTTCAAATCTGTTCTACAGTGGAATGAAAAAAATTATCAAATAATAGAAACGCGTTCCAAGAACGGTCGTTTCAGTTCTGGGGAAAATGCGCTCTCCGTAAACCTATCGTAATTACATTCTTGCGTTATCCATCGAAAAGAAAGCGTTTCAATGCGTTCGAAAAAGTGCGTTTTAAGTCTAGCAAAAACATGTGAACAAAAAAAAGAACGCGTTCAAATGCAGATTTCAGTGAAATGTTTTTTCGTGGGTTCTATTACAATGTTTCGATTTATCAAAGAATGATTTAAAAGTATCATCAAAGCCTTATCAAGAATTAGATGAATATATGAAATTGAACGGTCAAATCAATGAAGCTGATGACATTTCATTGTTTTGGTTAACACACAAATCAAAATTTCGAACATTATTTTCCATTGTGCAAGATTATTATGCCGTACCAGCTGCAAACACAACGATAGAAAGACTTTTTTTCGTCAGCAAAAAACACAGTTACAGATAAACGGATTAGTCATGGTACAGAAAAAATCAACAAATTATTATTCTTGCAAAATGATTTAGCACAATTAAAACAGTTTGATAAAAAAATTCGTGATGTAGCTAGTGCAACTGATACAAAAAGGAAAGTAACTCATCATGACAAAAAATCTACTGAAATATCATTACACAATGAAGAGCAATTTAGAAGTTCAACAGCAGCAAAGAAATTGAAAAAAGACGAAGAAGACGATACTTTTATTTGCGATGACGATCAGGATGATAAAGAAAACGACGAGTTGTACTGTTAATTAATTAACTGATAAATATTTTTATGTGAATATATTGTACTATAGCAATTTTCTTATGTTCTCTTTTGCTTTGCATTTTGTGTTTTGAAAAACAACTGATTTTTCAAGAAAAATACATTACATTTACACTTTTGAATCATGAAAGATGCAGTTATATGTAAAAAAATATCATTGATTTCATACATTATTAGTAAACAACGGCTCCAAAGATTTTTTAAGAACCGAAACCAGAACCGTTTTTTTAATTCTTAGGAACCGGGTATCGGGTAGAACCGCAGGACTCTACATGAGAGTAGGGGTGGGTCATTTACATTATTTTAAAATTAAGTTCAATATCATCAATTAGCAATAACTTACAGGTATGAAGTGTCAAGAAGAAGAAAAACTGAAGTTTCATGTTAACTGACACTTCTTCAAAGTCTCATTTAGAAAAATGGTTTATCCCTATTTGAGAAAATTTTAGAATAGCTAGGAATATATTGCAATGGTTGCGAATGGATACGAATGACTGGGAATGGATAGGCATGGCTGGGAATGACTAGGAATGCCAGGGAATGACTGAATGAGTTTTTTCCCCCTTGGGAGTTACACTATGCTACCTACGACCTCACAAGAAATTGATATCAGAGCACATAACTGAACAACTGATATACGACTTGAAGATACAATTCTAAATTCCACAATCACAGCGTATATCTGCCATCTGCGGAGCATTTAAAATTATAGGTAGGAAGCAATCATGTTATATATGTTGAAAATTTTAAACTATCGGTAGGGTAGAAAGTAAATATCTTATTTCTCTTGGAAGAATCAGATATCAGCGATCAGATATTTCGTGAAAACTGGTACTAATTTGAGATTTGCCATGATCTCATGTTGGACGCATATTACTCTTAATAGTATAATTTTTGGAAAAATTCGTTTTGATAGTGAATGATTAAAACAAAAAAATGCTGCTATATGGAACTATGTTGAGAAAAACACAATACTAATACATACTTTCCCATTAATCTTTGATAAAGTATATAAGTATAGACTTTATATCGTATTTCAACAGTCAATTTTTTATTGAATTTGATATTTATCAAACAAGCTCGTTTTATCACGTGTTTATGATTCGATGGGAAAACTATTCATTAGTCAGACAAGTGTAAATTTGTTCACTTTAGGTTAAAATTATTTTCTAACTTTCGAAAACCTTCAAAGACTGAAAAAATAATCTTCATGGAAAGATCATAATGTTCATATTAATTTTAGATGTTCGACGACTATTCATCGTAGGTACTTCGTGTTCTAATATTCTTCTTAGTAGTTATTCGTTAGGGTTCGATGAATCGAAAATAAAGCATCTACATGGGAAAATTCTTTTTGATTTTCATTCAATCGAGTCAAATCTTTCGATTGGTCAAAGAATGCATATACACATATAAAGAGAAAAATCCGCGTATAAGTGAGAAATACAGGACGTATAAGAACTATGTAAAGACCAACTGGCCTGTAACAGAAGTCATACAAAAAACATGTTTACAGCAATAAATGAGACAAGAGTGAGATAAATTGATAGTCTAAAGCAAGTCTAGAGAGAAATTCTTATTTGTGCTTTCACACATGATGGACTTGTCAAAGGTTTTGTCAAGTCAAAATTGATTTCATGATCACATTTTGAACTGGATTTACAAATTTCTGTTTGTCAGTTTCAGCCTGTGATTGTTATAGTTCAACGGAAATAACATCCACTTCATTAGATTCTAGTACAACTTTTTTATTTGAAATTTCTGCTGCTCTCACAAAATATGCATTTATTTTCCATGCCCAAATTAAAATCAACATCATAAGCACAATGAACGATGTGCAGCTCAAAACGGCCATTGTCAATCCTGTAACACCAACTTCGCGGGCACCTAGAATTCCTAAAGCAATTAATGGACCCAAAAATGCAAAAGTAGTACTGATCCAAGCAAGATACATAAGGCTACAGCATACAATAGTCGTTTGAGTACAGCATGTGTAACCATAGAGTAACAGTCGTAAGTACAAGTTCACGATCCAATTGAATACTTGGATAAGTCCAGCACACAGTCCGATTTGTTCAAGAATTTCAAGAGTCGAGATCCCTTTCTTAAACCATCGATAGCAAGTGACGCTGCCCAGAGACGTCGGAATAAAAGTGTCTGATGAATTACAGAAGAAGTAGCTGTTATTACCAGATGTCGAATAACAGTCCATATCACTATCTTTTGGGCAGTTTTCATTTGGAAGAAGATAGATAACATTTAAAATTATACCATCGACGAACACGATCAGTGTCACTCCAATTACAACACTGGCCGTAACCCCGAGACATACACGAGGTATTATCGAAAACCATTTCCTCTCTGTTCTCAATTCAAAAAGTACTCCGTATATATTGAGTGTTTCCGGTTGCTCGTTGCCTTTTGATGGGATATACACAATATCAAACATATTCTTAAGTAAAGCATAGAACACCTGGCGACAAAAGACGAATAGTAAACCGGTGAATAATAGAGAAAAACCGACTAGGCCAAACGAAATCCCAAAATTCGTATCAAAATATCTTGAGTAATTCCACTCCATCTCTTGTGTAGGTTCAAAAGCGAAGATTCAAAGAATTACTTTTTTAGTATAAAATAAATGAATAAATAAAACTCAATGTAGTTTAGTACTGAGCGGAACCAGTATTCTATGGTTGTAGCTGGAGAATTGAGTAGTAGAAGGAAAATTTTGTTGAGTATGAGTTTTAAAAGAAGCAGAAAATGAAAGCGATATGTGCTTTTCGTTTTTCTTATCTTAATCTGTATGTCAACGAGATGGAAGGTTGTTATCTTTTCAAGAGAAAACAAAACACAAGAGCTCACCTTGAAAGAAGAAAAACAGAAAAATAATCACTCAAAGGTCTCTTTCAAAGCTATATAGTAGAAATGCGTGAGTCCCAAATCCCACCAGAAATTCCATCTTAGAATTATAGATGGCTTTTTTAAAGCTGAAGTAGGATAGAACTTTAGGAGAATTCAAGCTTTAGAAAAGTGTGAATGTCGGTGTGGGTTTAGAAGAAGATATTCCTATTCACACCCACCCGTCACATATGGTGACCGACGTCGGCATAGTACTATCAGAAGCCATGTATAATCTAAATTGAGTTAAAATATCTCTGGAATATTTCCTTGTTGAAGTTCTATGACAAAAAGTACGGAATAAACAAGAAATTTCCAGAAAAATACTTAGTTAATGATGATAGTCTTTAAAACAGTTTTTATTTTCATTCAAACATAAGCGCACTTTGCATTTTGTACAAGATACTCTTGAATATCCCAAGCATCGACCATTTCTACAGCGACCTTTTGTTGTCGACACCGGCCAATGATCAAACTTGTCGATTCTAGTACTGGTTGGTGAAACTGGAACCGGTGCAGTTCTTACAACTGTTGTTGTATTGTTTTGATTTGATATATTCTGTAAAGATGGACGTCCACGTTGCACTGGTCGTGGTGATGGACTTGATTGAAGTAATGATTTTGCTACATCAATTCGAAACGTTAATAAAGATAGCACGTCTTTCTTTTGAATTTGATTTTGAGAACAATAACGGCGATATAGCAACCATGCATTAACCAATGAAAGATCAATAAGATGGGAAATAATCTTCATGTAATATTTGACGGAACGAATATTTATTCGATATAAAGATGTTCGCATATCAAGCAGATCAACGCCGCCCATATTTTCATTGTAATCTTTGATTACAAATGGTCGTGAAGTATGTACATGAGTTTTTCTATTTTGATGACCATCGTTTAGCTAAATCAGTATTATCACAACCGTGCAATGTCGATAGGCGATTGACAACGTTGTTGCCGTACCATCTGGTGGCACATAATTCCACACCATCAACTTCAGCTATACGATAGTCCATTGCTCCTCGACCTTCACGTGTTAATTCTTGTTTAGTTTTCATAACAAGGTCGGGTAGTCGGTTGGATCTTACTGTACCCACCGCATAAATACCCAGTCGTTTTAATTCGACTTGCAGCCGAATATTTGTGCAGTAATTGTCAAAATAGATTTTATGGTTCATTAAACGTGGTACGGTTTCACTTAAGTCAAGCACAATATCAGTACAAAAGCCGTATTGTGGATTCTCACCTTTACCAGTGTATAGTATGAAATCATAACATATACCAGCTTTTTCCACCGACAAGTACAAACATTTTATAGCCCCAATGATTAGGCTTATTAGGCATGTGCTGCTTCATGATGCTCTTACCTTTGAATGGTATTATGAATCTCTGAACTTTGATCGACAGTAAAAATGTCGCCATTAAAATGTCGAAGATTGAGTAGGGATTCATGAAAAATGTCGTGCTCAGAAAAAAAGCCAGGTACTTTTATTCAAGTTAAATGTTTTGTATATTAAAAAATGAAACCGAGTGGCAAGCAAAATACTTTGAAACATTATTTTATCGATGTTAAAGAATATTCTTATTGAATAATCATAGTTTTTTTGCTACAACCAACGGCAAGCCGTTGAGAAGATCAGATGCTGTAATCAAATAGTTATTATATCGACTATACAGCGTGTTTATTCGATTTTGTAATGCTGTTGTTCTTTTGGTTTTCTTCTTCGATGCACCGGAAGACCATTGAAGTACAATATTCTGTACACGTTTTTCCTCTGTTTTCATAAAATCGATGAAATTCCATATATTTGGATGATTTCGATAAATACGACAATTCATTCTATTGTGATAGCCTGCAATTAAAAAGAGCAAATTGATCCTTTTGCTTCATTAAACAGATATCTACACCTTCACAAATGTTGTTTGTCCGACTATCAAAGTCATATACATTCCACAAATCAATATCCAACATCCAGTTCTTGTCAAAATATTCCAATAATCGAATCATTGGTAAACCAGGTAAAAGATCAGCAGAAACTGATGCTTCAGGTGAAGTTTTGGCAAAAACATGGAAGCAGTATTCCGGGACTGGTTACGATTACTGTTTACGGCTTCTTCTCTGATGATTCCTGGAACCAGATGAAATGCAGCATCCCGCTGCCGTTTCCGGCAAGGCTCCTCAGAAGGGTTCCGACGCCTTTTCACGGGAGCAGGATCCGAACTATATTCCTTCCGTTTCCGTTTCGGTTGCAACTCCCAGATCCGATCGTTTTTATTTTCTTTCAGACGGTTTAATCCCGCAACCGGAAATGGTAGGATCTATTCGAAAACGTATTTCTTATAACTACACGACTTTAATACCTTACAATCGATAAATTGGATCGCTCTCTCAAAAGAATCTCTAGAATACAATTGTATCTTCAATGTTCAAATGTATGGAATATTAAGAAAAAGTTACAATTCCATACAAGCATTGATAAAAATTTTGACTCTCTTCAGAACATTGGACTAAATGGGGCATGATAGTCATTCTCAAAGCAGTTTTAAGGAGATACGACTTTAACAGCAGTGTGAGAACAAGTCGATTGGATACAAAATACCGCGTAAGAGATTGCACCAAGGGGGGAACAGCAGAATCCAGCCCCTTGGATTCAAGTGGATTCATGTGGATTCAAATGGATTCAGGTTGATTCAAGTGGAGTCACATGAAATCTCGTAGAATAATTTCCTATTTTTTTAAATCCATTATAAAAATTCGATACTTCCATTGTTTTTGTTTGTATCGTG